GTTTTTAACTTGAACTTGAAATGCAAATTAAAACACTTTACGATTAATTCACAAATATCACAAGTAAAAATACGAGTAACCATCTAAGTCCCACAATAAATATACGAATAATCATGTGATGTGCCATCATAAAAATACGAATTTCGAGGTCGTTATCGCTGACCCGTCTTGCGGCAGTGTGTACCTGCAGCAGGTTGGCGCGCACGTTGTGCTGCGGGCCCACCACCACCTGCGCGCCGCCCTCCGCCCCCGACCCCGCCTGCGCCTATAACCCGCCCCACACATACAGTACCCCGCTGGGTCCCGCGACCCGCCGCAGCGGCAGTGTGTACCTGCAGCAGGTTGGCGCGCACGTTGTGCTGCGGGCCCACCACCACCTGCGCGCCGCCCTCCGCCCCCGACCCCGCCTGCGCCTATAACCCGCCCCACACATACAGTACCCCGCTGGGTCCCGCGACCCGCCTTGCGGCAGTGTGTACCTGCAGCAGGTTGGCGCGCACGTTGTGCTGCGGGCCCACCACCACCTGCGCGCCGCCCTCCGCCCCCGACCCCGCCTGCGCCTATAACCCGCCCCACACATACAGTACCCCGCTGGGTCCCGCGACCCGCCGCAGCGGCAGTGTGTACCTGCAGCAGGTTGGCGCGCACGTTGTGCTGCGGGCCCACCACCACCTGCGCGCCGCCCTCCGCCCCCGACCCCGCCTGCGCCTATAACCCGCCCCACACATACAGTACCCCGCTGGGTCCCGCGACCCGCCGCAGCGGCAGTGTGTACCTGCAGCAGGTTGGCGCGCACGTTGTGCTGCGGGCCCACCACCACCTGCGCGCCGCCCTCCGCCCCCGACCCCGCCTGCGCCTATAACCCGCCCCACACATACAGTACCCCGCTGGGTCCCGCGACCCGCCTTGCGGCAGTGTGTACCTGCAGCAGGTTGGCGCGCACGTTGTGCTGCGGGCCCACCACCACCTGCGCGCCGCCCTCCGCCCCCGACCCCGCCTGCGCCTATAACCCGCCCCACACATACAGTACCCCGCTGGGTCCCGCGACCCGCCGCAGCGGCAGTGTGTACCTGCAGCAGGTTGGCGCGCACGTTGTGCTGCGGGCCCACCACCACCTGCGCGCCGCCCTCCGCCCCCGACCCCGCCTGCGCCTATAACCCGCCCCACACATACAGTACCCCGCTGGGTCCCGCGACCCGCCTTGCGGCAGTGTGTACCTGCAGCAGGTTGGCGCGCACGTTGTGCTGCGGGCCCACCACCACCTGCGCGCCGCCCTCCGCCCCCGACCCCGCCTGCGCCTATAACCCGCCCCACACATACAGTACCCCGCTGGGTCCCGCGACCCGCCGCAGCGGCAGTGTGTACCTGCAGCAGGTTGGCGCGCACGTTGTGCTGCGGGCCCACCACCACCTGCGCGCCGCCCTCCGCCCCCGACCCCGCCTGCGCCTATAACCCGCCCCACACATACAGTACCCCGCTGGGTCCCGCGACCCGCCGCAGCGGCAGTGTGTACCTGCAGCAGGTTGGCGCGCACGTTGTGCTGCGGGCCCACCACCACCTGCGCGCCGCCCTCCGCCCCCGACCCCGCCTGCGCCTATAACCCGCCCCACACATACAGTACCCCGCTGGGTCCCGCGACCCGCCGCAGCGGCAGTGTGTACCTGCAGCAGGTTGGCGCGCACGTTGTGCTGCGGGCCCACCACCACCTGCGCGCCGCCCTCCGCCCCCGACCCCGCCTGCGCCTATAACCCGCCCCACACATACAGTACCCCGCTGGGTCCCGCGACCCGCCTTGCGGCAGTGTGTACCTGCAGCAGGTTGGCGCGCACGTTGTGCTGCGGGCCCACCACCACCTGCGCGCCGCCCTCCGCCCCCGACCCCGCCTGCGCCTATAACCCGCCCCACACATACAGTACCCCGCTGGGTCCCGCGACCCGCCGCAGCGGCAGTGTGTACCTGCAGCAGGTTGGCGCGCACGTTGTGCTGCGGGCCCACCACCACCTGCGCGCCGCCCTCCGCCCCCGACCCCGCCTGCGCCTATAACCCGCCCCACACATACAGTACCCCGCTGGGTCCCGCGACCCGCCGCAGCGGCAGTGTGTACCTGCAGCAGGTTGGCGCGCACGTTGTGCTGCGGGCCCACCACCACCTGCGCGCCGCCCTCCGCCCCCGACCCCGCCTGCGCCTATAACCCGCCCCACACATACAGTACCCCGCTGGGTCCCGCGACCCGCCGCAGCGGCAGTGTGTACCTGCAGCAGGTTGGCGCGCACGTTGTGCTGCGGGCCCACCACCACCTGCGCGCCGCCCTCCGCCCCCGACCCCGCCTGCGCCTATAACCCGCCCCACACATACAGTACCCCGCTGGGTCCCGCGACCCGCCGCAGCGGCAGTGTGTACCTGCAGCAGGTTGGCGCGCACGTTGTGCTGCGGGCCCACCACCACCTGCGCGCCGCCCTCCGCCCCCGACCCCGCCTGCGCCTATAACCCGCCCCACACATACAGTACCCCGCTGGGTCCCGCGACCCGCCGCAGCGGCAGTGTGTACCTGCAGCAGGTTGGCGCGCACGTTGTGCTGCGGGCCCACCACCACCTGCGCGCCGCCCTCCGCCCCCGACCCCGCCTGCGCCTATAACCCGCCCCACACATACAATAACCCGCGCAACCCAATAGTGACAGAATTGTTTCCACCCGCCGAAGCGGCCGCAGCGTCACCGATCCGACTACTATACAACATGTGCTCCCACTCCTTGTATTTCTAGTTCCGAATGAATACTACCGCGGCGCAAGAATATTATATCGATTTCGCTATGTAGAGCGCAGATATGAATCGAAACTAAATTCCTTTATTAAAATTAGTAGCAAAATACTCTCTTTTAGTACCCGGTTATTAAGAAGCGAGCTTTTTACATCTTTCGTCCAAATCCGTGTGCTGCGATCGCTGTCAACGTATCGAACATTCTAAAAGTCGACTCGAAACATTCTAACAAAATCAACAATAAATTTAAATACCCGCAGAAACCAAATCCAAAGAAAAACCTACCAAATTTTCTTTAAAATAAATGAGAAAAATAGACAGTCAAGAAGAAACCACATGCAACCAAAACTCATACGCACAAGCAAAACCCAAATGTAAAACTTGAGAAACTGAACCAAGTGAAACGAAACTCAAAACGAAATAGAGTTTAAGCTCTCCACTATTTAATCAAATACGAAAGAAACAAACCAAAACAACCAAATCAAAATAGAACCTTTCGATAAAAATTCACAAATAGATCATTTTCATAAAAATCACAATTTAAAAAGGTAGGGGAAACCACCCAATCATTGGCACTCGTCCTATTATTGGCACTTTTGAATTTAATTCGGAAAAACAAGGTGACAATAGATTATTCAAGGTCGTTACATATTAAAAAGAAAAACCAAGTATGGTTTCGAAATTTGAAGATTGGCAGCATTATTCCTTTAATCTATTGTTTCCTGTTTTTTTTCGAACTAAACTCAAAAGTGCCAATAATAGGAAGAGTGCCAATGATTGGGTAGTTTCCCTTAAGTGACGTCTACAACAAGAGCAATTAATGTCCGTAATTTTAAATTTCAACTTGCATTCAAAACACTGCAGAATAATCTGTCACGAATTGAAGCATAAGTAAAATATTCTAAAATAACTGTGGCCTGTGGGTTAGTTGCGGTCATGTCGACAACGTCACCTTTATTGTAGAGTTTAATCTCGGTGTGCTGACCACAGTCATCATATCATCAAAGCTGGGGAATCGAACCCCGAATTGTCAGAATTTAGGGTCACTTAATTCGTAACGACTTATTTACTTGGTATAGCACTTGTCTCACCGCCGACGAAGAACGAGAAGCGAGTTGAGCTAGAAACTAGTCTTAAATGAGAAAATAGCCGATAGTTAGTCCTCGCCAGCGGTGGGACAACTGCCTCACTATGAAAATATAGTCTTTTTATGGCTATACATCCCATTGGGCTATTTCAATAGGCTAGTTTACTCATGTCGAATTGTATTAAATAAATGTTTATTTCTTAAAGTATTTAGTCTAAGGATCCTTAATATATCGATTTCACTTCATAAAAGCAGAAGATTGCTGTAGAAATTTAATTTTAAAAAATATTTTTTAGTCTATATTTTTTAAACACTAAAAACGCTGTTCGCCACATCCGCCATGATTTTGACGTCTCTTGGGGTAAACAACTAAATGTCATTCGCGTGTTACTGTAGGTGGATGCTTTCGTCTGACTAAATTTATCTTCAAACACTTTTAACTTTAGGAAAGAAAAAAACAGTAAACTTAGTTTTTTTTTGACAAAACTAATTATGGATGCCGGCTTTGTGAAAGCAGAAAGCACAAATCTGCCAAGAATTGACGCATTGATGGTTGGTGAATTTGTTGCACTAAACCCCGATTTCTGCTCTGAAACGACAAGGCATTTGTAAGTACAGTGCATTTAGTATTACAATGTAGTAATAAACATAAAACTGATACAACATATGAATAAGTGTAATAAAGTTGCGTAGGTTAATTTCTTTCGGCACTTTAATCCACAACTTTCCTGGAGTCTTCAAGGATGTGTTTTTATATTCTCGTACAATACAGTAATGATAATTACTTTATTTTTCGTGGTATTTATTAGAAATCATGTTTTTTTTATTATAAACTCAGTTAAAAGTAATTTTCTACGTGTTTACGAGTTTTTGTTTATCACAGTTCACGTCATAGCATAGATAATCTATAGACTAAAATGGCCGACAGCGTTTTTGTATGTCCATGAAAAGTCTATTTTAAAATTAATCATTTGTAGCTTTCTAGGTTTAAAAAAAATACAATACATTTTTTTTTCGGTCTAATAGAACATTTATTAACCATTTAAAACCTTTTTCCAAAAAGGGTCAACTAGCCTATTAACAAGTGGCTTATATTGTATCATGTACACTTGTGATAAAATGTCATAATATTCCTAATTGTGCCTATATAAATACCTGCACGTTGGCGAGCGACGCGATCTGTATCTGTTGTATCTGTCCGGAGGGCGTGAGCACGTTGGCGACCTGGGGCTGCGCCTGCATCTGCAACGTGCTGCTTATAGAATAGCCGCCGCCAGGATAGCCGCATAGTGTTACATTTACCGGGTATTTTTCTTATACGCATTCACAATGCACAGACATCTCTGAGTGCTCGTCAGATGATTCGTCTGGTGATAATGAGCCTAATGTTAGCATAATTCTCTAAATTTTAATTTGAAGATACCAAGTCAAAGGTATCTTTGTCGTTTTCACTACAGAATAAAAAGGAGAGATCGTAGTCTACATTTAATTCTAGAGAATCATGTCAGAATCAGGGCCATTACATTACATTTTATTTTAATAGATTTTTAATTTTGTGCTTTATTAGTAAAAAAGTTTATACCTTTAAATTATCATAAAAAGCGAGTCAAAATAATTTGCGGTGAAATCTCGGTACATTCTACAATTATGTATTAAATATTGAATGACAAATAATGTAGTAAATTTTAAGTGGGGTGTGGTGTGGTGTGTCGTATCATATGGTGTGTATCAGTCACCTAGTCCAGCGGCACCTGTGTGTGTGTGTGTGTGTGTGTGTCTGGTATGGTGGGTGCAGCACGCAGCACGCAGCACATACCTGGTGCAGCGGCGGCAGCAGGTGCAGCGGCGGCGCGTGCAGCGGCACATGCACGGTGTGGTACACGTGGTGGCCGCCCACGCTGACGGGCACCTGTGTGTGTGTGTGTGTGTGTGTGTGTGTGTGTGTCTGGTATGGTGGGTGCAGCACGCAGCACGCAGCACATACCTGGTGCAGCGGCGGCAGCAGGTGCAGCGGCGGCGCGTGCAGCGGCACATGCACGGTGTGGTACACGTGGTGGCCGCCCACGCTGACGGGCACCTGTGTGTGTGTGTGTGTGTGTGTGTGTGTGTGTCTGGTATGGTGGGTGCAGCACGCAGCACGCAGCACATACCTGGTGCAGCGGCGGCAGCAGGTGCAGCGGCGGCGCGTGCAGCGGCACATGCACGGTGTGGTACACGTGGTGGCCGCCCACGCTGACGGGCACCTGTGTGTGTGTGTGTGTGTGTGTGTGTGTGTGTGTCTGGTATGGTGGGTGCAGCACGCAGCACGCAGCACATACCTGGTGCAGCGGCGGCAGCAGGTGCAGCGGCGGCGCGTGCAGCGGCACATGCACGGTGTGGTACACGTGGTGGCCGCCCACGCTGACGGGCACCTGTGTGTGTGTGTGTGTGTGTGTGTGTGTGTGTGTGTCTGGTATGGTGGGTGCAGCACGCAGCACGCAGCACATACCTGGTGCAGCGGCGGCAGCAGGTGCAGCGGCGGCGCGTGCAGCGGCACATGCACGGTGTGGTACACGTGGTGGCCGCCCACGCTGACGGGCACCTGTGTGTGTGTGTGTGTGTGTGTGTGTGTGTGTGTGTGTCTGGTATGGTGGGTGCAGCACGCAGCACGCAGCACATACCTGGTGCAGCGGCGGCAGCAGGTGCAGCGGCGGCGCGTGCAGCGGCACATGCACGGTGTGGTACACGTGGTGGCCGCCCACGCTGACGGGCACCTGTGTGTGTGTGTGTGTGTGTGTGTGTGTGTGTGTCTGGTATGGTGGGTGCAGCACGCAGCACGCAGCACATACCTGGTGCAGCGGCGGCAGCAGGTGCAGCGGCGGCGCGTGCAGCGGCACATGCACGGTGTGGTACACGTGGTGGCCGCCCACGCTGACGGGCACCTGTGTGTGTGTGTGTGTGTGTGTGTGTGTGTGTGTGTCTGGTATGGTGGGTGCAGCACGCAGCACGCAGCACATACCTGGTGCAGCGGCGGCAGCAGGTGCAGCGGCGGCGCGTGCAGCGGCACATGCACGGTGTGGTACACGTGGTGGCCGCCCACGCTGACGGGCACCTGTGTGTGTGTGTGTGTGTGTGTGTGTGTGTGTGTGTGTGTGTCTGGTATGGTGGGTGCAGCACGCAGCACGCAGCACATACCTGGTGCAGCGGCGGCAGCAGGTGCAGCGGCGGCGCGTGCAGCGGCACATGCACGGTGTGGTACACGTGGTGGCCGCCCACGCTGACGGGCACCTGTGTGTGTGTGTGTGTGTGTGTGTGTGTGTGTGTCTGGTATGGTGGGTGCAGCACGCAGCACGCAGCACATACCTGGTGCAGCGGCGGCAGCAGGTGCAGCGGCGGCGCGTGCAGCGGCACATGCACGGTGTGGTACACGTGGTGGCCGCCCACGCTGACGGGCACCTGTGTGTGTGTGTGTGTGTGTGTGTGTGTGTGTGTGTGTGTGTCTGGTATGGTGGGTGCAGCACGCAGCACGCAGCACATACCTGGTGCAGCGGCGGCAGCAGGTGCAGCGGCGGCGCGTGCAGCGGCACATGCACGGTGTGGTACACGTGGTGGCCGCCCACGCTGACGGGCACCTGTGTGTGTGTGTGTGTGTGTGTGTGTGTGTGTGTGTCTGGTATGGTGGGTGCAGCACGCAGCACGCAGCACATACCTGGTGCAGCGGCGGCAGCAGGTGCAGCGGCGGCGCGTGCAGCGGCACATGCACGGTGTGGTACACGTGGTGGCCGCCCACGCTGACGGGCACCTGTGTGTGTGTGTGTGTGTGTGTGTGTGTGTGTGTGTGTGTGTGTCTGGTATGGTGGGTGCAGCACGCAGCACGCAGCACATACCTGGTGCAGCGGCGGCAGCAGGTGCAGCGGCGGCGCGTGCAGCGGCACATGCACGGTGTGGTACACGTGGTGGCCGCCCACGCTGACGGGCACCTGCACGCCGACCACGCCGCCCACGCCGCGCACTCCCACGCCGCCCACGCCGCCCACGCCGCCTGCACCCATCCACTCTACTCAACGACACAACTACAAGATACAAGATACAACCCCACATACACCCAGAATGGACTCAACATTACTTAGGTCCGGTCGCGGCACGTAACTCTAGCGCTGAACAAAACGCTGGGGGAATAGCTGCGCATGAGTACGACTGGGGAGACAATCGGCGCAGGGCACGCCCACCCGCGCACCTCGTTTCCCCCCAACACATCTTAATTTTTACTTCTGCGTAATAACGATCAGCGATAGATTTTCGTGCCAGGACTTATACCTATCTATAGAATTAATAACGGCTCAAGTTTCGCGACTTTACAACTAGTAATTCACATATTGAACGCAATATCGCTTTCTAGACCATGATCAATTTGCAAGTATTGCTCAATCCATTCCCTGTGCCTATGATTTGCCCCGTTCACCTCGGAATTAGCGACCAGTGACCGAAGAAACGATCGTTATTTACTTATATTGAAAATGCGACAGTAACTCTGCACTCTTTTCTCTTCGCATGTCATGCTTTCATAATTAAAACGCGGCATAGAATTTATTAAATTTAAGTCCAGATTTAAAGAGAACTTAAGCTACATTTCGTCGCGAAAATAAAATCTCTGAAGAGATTAAAATAGGGAATATTTATTTTTATGGGTAACCGAATATTTTAACGCAGGCAAAGTCGCGGGCATTAATTAGGCTCAGAAATAAATAATCAAACAAAAACAATTATTGTAGTGCTGAGGTCAACGCGTTGATCATACATTTCCATATTTTACATTTTCTTGCGAGGCAGCGTTGATGCGCGTTTTTTCGCGTTAGTGTGAACGGTTGTAAGGTGTCTTTTATCTACGTAGAAATGCGCGATTAGAAACTATGTATTGAATGTGTGCAGATACCAGCGCTGCCTGATTTTTTTTTTGCCAAATCGGGATTTAGGAACTTTAAGAGTGAAAAACGTGGGATTCTTTCGTCGAAAGCGGGACATAGTAAAAAAACGTATATATGTAATAAACTTTTTAAAATATTTATCTTTTTATTTGAGTTCAAATTACGTTTACGTGACAATAGATAGGTACGTAGTAAAAATATCCATAGAAAATGTATTTTAATAAAAATATGACATTTTAAATCAGATCTTTAAATAGTCTATGTTCATTGGGCCGGGCAGGCGGCCAGTCCACATTTGTCTGTGCCACCCTACGCTGCACGCACGGTCGAGTTATTCCCGAAAAGCGGGATAGAGCCTGTCCTGGACGGAGCTATCAAAATTCGTGCTTGAAAGTCTTGAAACGCTCTTATTTTTGTATCTGATTCAGAAGATCACTATCGATATCCGTAGTTCCTTACAAATCTGTCTTCTACATTTTTCGTCATACTGCTTTAAATTCTTAAATAGCTTTAAGTCTACCTAGATGTAATAAAAAAAATAGGGTTCGGGCTTTCTATACTCTATTAACATTTTCTGAGAAAAAAGGCAAACAAACCATAAAAAAAGGTTTTCGATAGATCGAATTCTAGACGCATATAAAGGTCATGATTTCAAAAAAGTGAAACTGTAGCTATTCCCAAACTTTGAACGCATTATAATACTACTTAATTGTAGTGATATCGAAATGTAAAATTTCCAGTTACCGGCCATCTTTACTCTTTTAATAAAAAAGTTTAGAAACATTGATTTATTTGTTTGCCTTTTTTCTCAGAGGAAGTTGAATAGAGTATAAGATAATCGATGTTCGGTTACTGTTCGCTTTTCATTCTCCGGTTTTATTTATAATTGTAACTTATTCATGCAATTCGTCTCAGAATTCACAATGTTTGGTTATGTGAGATACATGTACCAAACTGTTTAATTACACATAATAGGGACACTAGCAAGACGCCATATTGTCCAGAAAAACGTTTTCGCAACAACTTGAAAATTGAGTTTTTGATTTGGTTGTTTTTACTGAAATATACAACAGAATGATGAATATCCACTTTTTACGGACTCCATAAAGTCAATAACGTGAGATAGTTTTCTAAAACTTGTCAAATACCCTATTTAAATACATATATAGTTTCACATCATACCTGTGTCACAGTGAGATTATTATATCTAAGGCTCTCCTCGTGCTTAGTATTTTTTGCGTTCTTCATCTGTATGCTCTATGTTATAGACTATGGTACACTATACAAAGAGAGCACAAACCTTAGATACAATTTCAACAATCTGTGACATACCCATGCCCGTGACACATCCAAGATTATGAATAATTTTTACGGGTTAAAACACAGATTTTGCTCTTAAATCTGGACTGCGCAAGTGGTGCTTGACAACGAACTTGGTATTGGTCTTGTATCGAAGTGATAAATCGCTTTTAAAAAAGAAAAGATGAAAAATATACTATACAAGATATCAGTTTGCACATCGTTGACATTTTTATTTAATAAAATAAAAATTATTTAACTACTGCGTGATCGGCGCTAAATAAAATTGATAGGTAAAAAATCCAAAACTATAACAAAATCGTTAAAATTAACAACTGAATCTCGTTCAGAATCATTCGGAAGCTTAAATCGTGACCGTGGAGAGGTGATAGTAAGATATAATATGGAGAAGCGGCGAACGGTCCACATATCACACAAGCGGAGTGGGGAGGTAAAATTACGGGGTTAGGCAGTGAGGGTCAGATGCAACCGTGGACCGTTCTTTTCGATAAAGGGCTGCGTTCCAAACTTATGTTCAAGTGCAATTTATCACCCTGAGATTTAAATTTTGACATAAAGTAAAAGACAATTTTGACATATCGCATACCCGCCCCGGTGCGATACTGTCACTTATGCAAAAAAAATATTTTTTCAGGAGAAGCGTATAAAACATTAACATCCCAAAAACTTACAATATTTAAAGGTTTTTTTATTTTTCTTTTAGATGAATAGCTTTATAAGCTTCTCATCACGTATAAAAATCTTTAAATATCGTATGTTTCGGGATGTTAAAGTTTTAAACGCTCATCCTGAAAAAAAATTGTATTCGCATAAGCGACAGTGTCGCACCGGAGGTGCGATATATAACGCATAAGTTTCGAACGCACCCAAGCGCGAGCGACGGAGGGAAAGATGAGATGCGAAACGTGCGAGGGAGAAAAGAAGACAGGAAGCGAAGAAGCTCGCAGGCAGCGGGGCGGCGTCGCGTACCAACCTTGCAGGGCGGGGCTCGGGGGCGACTCGGGCTCCTTCTTGGGGTCGGGCGCGGGGGTCGCGGGGGGGGCGGGGGGCGCTGGGGGGGCCGGGGTAGACGCGGGCGCCGGGGTGGAGGGCGCCGCCAGCTGCAGCGCGTGGGGCGGCAGCTGCAGCGGCAGCGACAGCACCTGCCCCGCCCCGCCCAGCGCGCTTATGGGGATGGAGAGGTTAGTGCCGCCCAGCGTCAGCGTCGCCTGCTGCTCTGCACCAATACCACCCCAGGGGAGTTACTGATCCGCCCGAATGGCGACCGGCGACCGGCCCCGGGCGGACTCGTCGCAGCGACTCTACTCACTGGCGCTTGCCAAATGTTCTAATAAGATATTAGGCCACCGACCGAATCCGCCCGTTGCGATCGATGTTAGAAGCACTCAAAGAAAGGAGAAAATGAAACATCGGAATGAATATGAAGATGCGAAATGATTTAGTGGTTGCGAATTTAATGATAATATTAAACGGAAACGAACGGCGGATGGGGCGAAGTTAGTATCATATTTTGATTAGTTTCGGTGGGAGAGTAGGTGAAATTAGAAGTGAAATACGACAGGAGGAAGTCCCAAAGCGAAGCTGCCGTCGATAGGTGTACTGCTGCTAAGTTAATTAGGGTACCGTTTACGTGTTTGGTGAAAGTGAAAGAGTATGATATTGTGTGTATCATGTGTTTTATAATTTTGATAATCACATCACGCATAAATATTTTTTCTTAAATCTCAATTGCATTTTGAAATGTTCTATATGAATAGTCTTTACTTTACTTTTTGTACTTCTGAAAAGAAAATAAATGTTAACAGATAATATTAAATTTTTAGGACTTAAGTGTAGTGGTAGTCGAATTTATTTATATACAGTGTAAACTCTATATGAGGACACAATTTATGGCGTCATTGAGAGTTGTCGTTTGATGGAAAGAAGAAAAATCAAAATTATGAAAAGGAAAAGTTTAAAGAAATCCACGCGGACCAGGCAGCGGACGGGACTTGAACCCGCACCCTTCGCTATCCGAGCGAATGCACTGACCATTATGTTATTAAGGCTAGGAAAATTTCGACGCGGCGAATAGGGCCGTGATAGCATAATGGTCAGTGCATTCGCCCGGATAGTGAAGGGTGCGGGTTCGAGTCCCGTCCGCTGCCTGGTCCGCGTGGATTTTTTTCTAGTAAACTTTTCTTTAGATTTTAAACATCTAGCAGTTGAATGCTTAAAAATAAATAAAAAACATAAGAAAAAGTTTATTTCAAGCTGATAGTTATGTACATAAAAAAAACTTATTTGAACGCTATTGCGTACATTCTGTTATTTTTGTCTGACCTCTTTTGCTGCACCAGTAATTTTGTCATATTATATTTTTTTAGTCATGGTCAACAACAGTCTACACGTGCTATCCCAATTTGTAAACTAAAGAACGTATTTCTTAGAAAGTTTTGTTTGCATGATGAAAACAAAAGGTAAGGATAATAAAGCGACAAAAGAACGTACACAGCTGTGCGCTTTGCAATAATTTTGACAACTTAAAAGGTACTTTTTATTACTTAATTGTTTTCGTTATTGAGAGTGGGTGTAATGCTCTAAGGAGGGTATCATTGTATTTATTTATTTTATTTATTTATTTATTTTGGTTACATGGAAGACTAACAGTTTATCTTAATATACTAGAAATGAATAGTAGTGACAAAGAGCCAATTACAGGTCCTCACATCTAGACATAACTTAAAAGAATAAAGAAACTATTTGCACTGTCTAATGTAGAAAAAATCTCTTAAATATAGTTTTATAAATGAGGTCCTTATGATAAATAACAGAATATGTATGGAAAACAAACTAAACTAACCAAAGAAGAGTAATTTCGACGCTTTAGGGAGTTTGTTGTTAAATCGAGTGACGTTATATGGAGTTTACACTGTATCTTGTATAGTATCGGCGTAAACTAGGCGTTAGAGCGGTCGCGTCAGAGCTACAAGCTGCGACAGTATCGCTCGCACATTCGGCCGCAATACGGGGTGAAAACATTTTATTTTACTTATTTTTGAAGTTATACTTCTTTAGTCGCGTTATGAAAAAATTATGAGAGTGAAATTTTCATCACTGTAACACAAAATTTTAACATAATGAAGTTAGCCGCGGGCGCGTTATTTGTAATATTTTATTTTCCAAGTGACCGTGGGGCAGATTTGAACGGGACATTGAAATGAAATGAATTTATTAATTTATTGTAATTAATTATTTGCATGCAATTAAAAACTAATTTTAAACGATGCCAAAGAAGGATAACTTCTCACGCGCCTACATAAGTACACGCACCCATTTTTTTTATAAAAATCCAATGAAACAATTCTAAATGAATATTTCAGTCTATTCTCTACCTTTAGGGTGTTACCACACCAATCGATCGACATCGACCGGCAATCGATCGATTGGTTAGTCGACCGGTATCGACGGATACCGGTCGACTAACCAATCGATCGATTGCCGGTCGATGGCATCGGTCGACGTAGATCGATCGACACCGGCTATATTCCATCAGTTTCTTTCGAAATGTATTCAACAAGAGGACGCGTTTTTGTTGGCCAGTACGATTTTTTAAAGCAAAAGATCGCTCACATTCTGCAAATTACATTTGAAACAGTGGTTTTTTGGATGCGTTTCGAATGAGTAACAGTGATATTGAAAATCTCTTAAATATGGTGGCTCCTTCAATTGCAAAATTGGATACCGATTGCCATCGATCGATCGATGGCATCTATCGACTATCGATCGATCGGTGCGGTAGAAACTATCGATCGACGTCGACTAATCCATTCTACCATCGATCAATCGCATCGATCGACGATCGACCGATCGGTGTTGTAACACCTTTATTTGCATAATATTCAATAAAGCTATTTCAGTTTTTTTGTTTTACACTATCGTGGTAATTCCACATCGCAAGAATGATAGACTCGCGGCGATACTCAAGGAATGGTTTGATATAAAATCTCACGGAAATTAACGGAGCGTGGCCCCGCTTCTAAGCTCCTAGGGGCCGTCAGTAGTATATATATGTGTGTGCGTGTGTGTGCGTGCGTGCGTGTGTGCGTGTGTGCGTGTTAGGGGCTGTGTTACCTTGCGGCAGATGCATGACGTTGTGCAGCAGGTGGGCGGGGAGGAGCGGCGCGCGCACGAGCTGCCCGTTGACGAGGTGCAGCTGCCCCTGCGGCTGCGGCTGCGGCTGGGGCTGGTGCTGCAGCTGGTGCTGCAGCTGCGGCTGCGACTGCGGCGCCGGGATGAACAGCGCGTCCTGACCGTCCACCGTCACCGCCTGCACGCCCCCCACGCCCCCCACCAGGCAGCCCCCGTACATCCCGCCCACGCCCCCCACGCCCTGCGTCTGTCCCCACAGAGGACCTCATTAATACTGGCCGCGCCCGGCCGGTTTCATAATACGGGTGATAACGGGGTACGATAAACGAAATTCTATTCACTCCGTCGGTTAGATGATCAAAAAATAATGGACGCGTATCTTTTCTTCGGGCGATCGACCGAAAAATGACAAAGTTATAGCGCGTCAAAGTTTGGGAGTGGGGGCTCGCGACGTCGCTTTTCGGTGAGTTTTCGCTTATGAGTGTACTCAAACGTGACGTCGTGCGAATTTTCGAATCGATATATCTCTGCAATGTTTATATTGTGTGAAAAAAGAAAAAATACGCGTCCGATACTTTTTGATAATCTACCAGATAAACGAAGAAAAAACAAATTAGTCATCATCCCTATTGTGGTGTTTTAGGCGGAAACTGGTAAGTAAAACTGAACACGTCCAGCGATAGTAGGCGTTTATTAACGACTGCTTTGACACACGTGTAAAAACGTCTATATCTAAATATTAAGTTGAACTACCTACATTATAATAATCACGAATTCCGATTCGATAACCGGAATGTCCGTCCTCCGACATAAGTTAATTCGACAGGAATTAATAATGAAAGATAAGAAAGAGAAATGTATAAATATGATAAATAACCATGATAATAGATGACAAAATATGTGAAAAGAAGGATTGCCTCTGAGGTACGTTACAACCGCTCGCTATCTCTCTCCCTTGAAACGCATGGCATCCAATGGCATCACATCCAAATAGTAAGATGCTTACAGTTGGCAATGCGCATGCGGCTTCAAAGAGAAAGAAGATGAGAGAGGTCTCTCATCTTCTTTCTCTTTCTATTAGAGGGACACTTCTACTTGTAGTAGAGTCTATTTTCCCCTACTCTACTCTTATATATCTATGATTGCACATCATTCTACTCGGCGAGTGGGTGGGTCAATAATACCCAGCGGGCTCACAATATTTTGCACATCCAATATAATGATGCGTTCAGAGCGCTGTTGCGACTTTCGCCTTTTTGTAGCGTTTCAAACAGGGCTTGAAACCGGTTTCGAAAATACCGGTAAATAAAGGTTAATACCGGTTTTTAGTAAAGGTTTCGTTCGGAGCGCGTCCGAAATGAAAGCGGTACCTAAAACCTTAATGAACCGGTTTAATCCAGAGCGACACGTGCCCGCGTCGGCATCGCTTGAAGTTTGTTTTGTTTGAACTAATCAAGTCACAACTTGTTAATGCAGAGTGATTGGTGCATTTATTGACACGTTTGCTAGCGCCTAGTGAGTCAAGTTATTCATTTATTATCGATGCCGTCAGAAAGAGCGAAATGAAACCCTTTAAAAACAGCTAAATTGATTCAAAACCAATTTGATTTCGCTATTTAGGAAAACCGGTTGTTTAAGGTTAAGGTAGAGCCAAACCTAAATAAAACGCTCCTAATGTACTTGACACTGATTTTGGCAAAATTAACCGGTAAATAAGCCCTGGTTTCAACTATATGTGCCGAGGCGAATACAGATGGTTTTGATGCGATTTCGCATAAGACAACGTTGCAATTGAAACGAATACGTAAGAGTAGCAACAGTAACCTGAGTATTATTGCCGCTAAATTTGATAGTCGTCTTGTGTGGAAATTTACCTAGAGGGCAGTCACTTTTAGAAATTAAGTATTAACACAATATCAGTATTTACTAAGACATTTTGGATCATGTTATCCTTATTTGAACGTAAAATGAGAAAATATTTTACCTTATACAGTAGAAGTAAGGTGTGTAGTTGTGAGGTGGATTCCCTGAAATTACCTTTCCTTATAGCATTCAAATATCTAATATATAAAGTTCTCGTGTCGCGGTGTTTCTGGTTAAACTCCTCCGAAACGGCTTTTCCGATTCTCATGAAATTTTGTGTGCATATTGGGTAGGTTTGAGAATCGGACAACATCAATTTTTTATCCCCCTAAATGTTAAGGGTAATCCACCCCTAAACTCTTTTTTCAATTTTAGTTTTTTATTTAATTTTTTTATGATACAGCATTAGTAAATACATATAACCCTGAATTTTCAAGCCTTTACAATCAACCCCTATTTTTTTATGGCGGTACGAAGTTCGCTGGGACAGCTAGTATAATTTATAAAACCGATACTATAAATAAATAATAAATAAAAAATAAAAATTTCCAACACTCACACTAATTAGCCTAGCCCCAAAGTAAGCACTATAAGGCTTGTGTTATGGGATACTAGGGTAACGGATAGAATACACATACTTTACATATATATGTATATTTATATAGAAATACATATTTAAACATCCATGACTGGAGTACAAATGCTCGTGTTCATCACACAAATATCTGCCCCCACCGGGATTCGAACCCGGGACCTCTCGAGTCGGCGCCGGCGACGCCATGAAACCCGGCGTACAAACCACTCGGCCACGGAGGTCGTCAATGGCTGATATATGACATACCTGCACCAGCTGGGGGTGCAGCTGCAGCAGCTGGGGGGCGGGCTGGTAGCTCTGCCCGTCCACCTGCACGCCGCCGCCCAGCAGCGCCTGCAGCTGCTGCATCGATATCACCTGCCGGAGAACAAATCTCAGAGTATAACGGCCATCTTATACTTTGCACAACCAAACTACCAAATACTGAACATATAGCACAGGTTAATGGAATACACATTCTTTTTACGTCTGGACAATGTGAGACGCATACCCCACTGCACTGCGAGCGCGGCGAGCTCACGCGGGATCTCTTCCTCCCGCTTGCTCTTCCAGGAGGAGGTCCTACCCCCTAAAAACCTGACGATGCTGTGATCTCGTCGGGCGGAAGATCCACCATCAGGTGGAGACCGAAGCACTGAGGTGAAGCCCCGAAAACCCTTCCGCGACCCCGGCAGTGAGTGTCCGACTCGACTTGGGGAAGCCCCGAGGCGTCAGGGGAAATCTTAAAATTGAAACTAGAAATCGTAACACAGAATTTTTATAAATTTATGAAAATGTTAATTGAATTATGTCATCGTAACACTGCGTTCTTAAGCCAAGCTTTATCTTCCTTTGTTTAGTGAGACCACCACTTTCACCTTTCCGAAGAGCCGTGCTTTCACCCCCCCTACCAAATCACTTCCGCTCGGCATGGATGTGGGAGTGGGGATTATTGTTGTCACCAAAAGCTGTCAGTTAATTCGTCACATTGGCATCGACTTTTGTCAAATGAACAATTGCACAATCGACCAGACCTGACCTGATTGTAGGATGTACTGGCAGAATGCAAATGGTGGTCGAACGCAGTGGAAGAGACCACATTAATTCATTTTTCATCCGTCGTCGCTCACTTCCGGACGACGGATATTTCCGGCACTGCCTAGGGTGCTACAGACCGGAAGTCGATGTCTTTTCATCTAAAACCGCACACATTCTTCCGCGATTTGTTTCACGAGATTGCAGGGCTTCAAAAACAAAAAACCACGACGCACTCAGCAGAGAGCATGAATATTTCCATCACCACATCTACTAACTCGAGTTCTGTCACACCTAAACAGGGTGTAAACAAGGGTATATTTCTTCTGGTTTGCCCTCGATGGAAAAAGGTATTATGGCGTCCACATCCAAAACGCAGAGCTAAAGTCGCACCATGGAAAATAACACACCTGTGATACACTATATTGGACATGCAGACTCTGAAACCACCAGAACAGGTAGATCAGACGTATCTCGAAGTGTGGTCGCTGAAGGATGGCCTCATTTACCCAATGAATGGCCATCAGAAGAAGTCCAGTTACTAGACTCATGCTGGAGGAATTCTACAAAAAAGTATAGGTACTCCTCAGTTTGCAAGAAATGGAGAAACTGATGACAAGATAGAACAATTGGTGTTTATCACCTTACTAAAGTCTTGCTTACATGACTATTTTAGTCTGTGATGTGATAGCCACTTTGACTACTCCCAATGCCGGCTTGATATATCAATGGTGGCTGCCAGCAAAATATCTACTAATCATCCTATATAAAGGGAACCCATCATAAGTTATACTCTGGTTTAATAACCAAGCTGCTGTAAATATTCCAACACTTAAGGAAATACACGACGCACCACATTAATATTATTATAATGGCTAATTCTATTATACTGTTGTGATATGCAACAAGTTAATTGCATGCAACAACCCCCACTACCGCACCGATGCCGACTGGGAGTCAAGGGCGGATCCTGAGGGGGGGTCATGGGGGTCATGACCCCCCCCCCTGGGCTGGGTCCATCTGTACCCACTTTACAGTCTGTACTTCACAATCTGTATCCAATGGGACTTGACCACGACTATATGACCCCCCCCCCCCCCTGGCGTCAAAGCTGGATCCGCGCTTGCTGGGAGTCACATATTAAAGGCGGTAGAAGGAGAATTGTTAGTGAAAGTGATGCTGTCTCACTCTTAGGCGCCTTTCTCACCGGGCCATGCGGGCTCATTTCGTGTTCATTCCTGTACCGGATTTGTACAGGTTCTGTACCGAGTGCATATAATTTAATAAGATCTTCCTCACCGAGCAGTTTCGGTACAGAATCTTTACAAAATGGATAGACAGCTCTATGTACTGATTCTCGAGCTCGCACCGACCCGTCGAAGAAGGAGCCTACAGTCTCGAATAAGGTTTCTGCATAAAAAAAAATGGTTGCCTGTAAAGTCGGTTTTACGGGCGAAGATTTTACGTGACAACGTCTTTTTCTCGTTAGAATATTTATTGATATGAATATAATTAAATTGCACAATAGGAACAAGGAATTGAATGAAAATAAGAATTGCACAAATTTTAACTATAGAAATATATTTTGTTTACTAAAACATTGTACATGTAAACTTAAACTTAACACGAGAGACTCATCGTAACGTTACCGAGCGTTACACTTTTTCATAAGTGACTCCCAGCCGCAACCTAATTTAAGACGTTGTCACGTCAATAACTGTTTCATTTTCAGGTAAAACATTATATTTATTAAGCGTTGCTACTCACCTGTGGTTGCTGCACCTGGATGCCATTGGGGACGGTGTTGGCCGCATTCACTATGGCCGCCGACAACTCGTTACCCTGCAATAATAAAGACATTTGGCTGCTATCATTCAGTTCAATGCTGATGGGATGCGTTGCAGTGGGTGTGGCTTCCTACTATTCTGGGTCGGGAAATTCACCGGACTGGGAAAGGCTGTTATACAGCCACTACAACTAATATGAAATGCATTTAGCCGGCAACAATGCCGGGTCAGGCATAATTCCCGGGATATTTGTCACTGGTTGTGGTCGCAGAACGCCCGGACCGGAGTAATATGAACAAATTCACACCGGGATCCTTGTCCCCGTTCGTCGTCGCTCCTGCACCCGCCTTTTCCGTCGTGAGTCATTTGTCATTTCGGCGTCTAAATTGGGCTGATATATACATACACACACGAATCTCCGGGTTTTTAAGAGATTCGGTGTAATCTGAAAACTGGAGCCGTTTTTCCGTCAAAATTTCCGGTTCGGCATGGTGGGTACGCAGCCTCACGTTCGGGACGGGACGGCGGAGGAGACGACCCTATGCTGGGGCTGCTGCTGCAGGTACTGCTGCTGCAGCGCCTGCTGATGGACCGCCTGCTGCACGGACACTGACCGAGAGCCCCTGCGCGCGCAGCTGCTGCACCACGGCGGAGGAGATGACCCTATGCTGGGGCTGCTGCTGCAGGTACTGCTGCTGCAGCGCCTGCTGATGGACCGCCTGCTGCACGGACACTGACCGAGAGCCCCTGCGCGCGCAGCTGCTGCACCACGGCGGAGGAGATGACCCTATGCTGGGGCTGCTGCTGCAGGTACTGCTGCTGCAGCGCCTGCTGATGGACCGCCTGCTGCACGGACACTGACCGAGAGCCCCTGCGCGCGCAGCTGCTGCACCACGGCGGAGGAGATGACCCTATGCTGGGGCTGCTGCTGCAGGTACTGCTGCTGCAGCGCCTGCTGATGGACCGCCTGCTGCACGGACACTGACCGAGAGCCCCTGCGCGCGCAGCTGCTGCACCACGGCGGAGGAGATGACCCTATGCTGGGGCTGCTGCTGCAGGTACTGCTGCTGCAGCGCCTGCTGATGGACCGCCTGCTGCACGGACACTGACCGAGAGCCCCTGCGCGCGCAGCTGCTGCACCACGGCGGAGGAGATGACCCTATGCTGGGGCTGCTGCTGCAGGTACTGCTGCTGCAGCGCCTGCTGATGGACCGCCTGCTGCACGGACACTGACCGAGAGCCCCTGCGCGCGCAGCTGCTGCACCACGGCGGAGGAGATGACCCGCAGCTGGGGCTGCTGCTGCAGGTACTGCTGCTGCAGCGCCTGCTGATGGACCGCCTGCTGCACGGACACTGACCGAGAGCCCCTGCGCGCGCAGCTGCTGCACCACGGCGGAGGAGATGACCCGCAGCTGGGGCTGCTGCTGCAGGTACTGCTGCTGCAGCGCCTGCTGATGGACCGCCTGCTGCACGGACACTGACCGAGAGCCCCTGCGCGCGCAGCTGCTGCACCACGGCGGAGGAGATGACCCTATGCTGGGGCTGCTGCTGCAGGTACTGCTGCTGCAGCGCCTGCTGATGGACCGCCTGCTGCACGGACACTGACCGAGAGCCCCTGCGCGCGCAGCTGCTGCACCACGGCGGAGGAGATGACCCTATGCTGGGGCTGCTGCTGCAGGTACTGCTGCTGCAGCGCCTGCTGATGGACCGCCTGCTGCACGGACACTGACCGAGAGCCCCTGCGCGCGCAGCTGCTGCACCACGGCGGAGGAGATGACCCGCAGCTGGGGCTGCTGCTGCAGGTACTGCTGCTGCAGCGCCTGCTGATGGACCGCCTGCTGCACGGACACTGACCGAGAGCCCCTGCGCGCGCAGCTGCTGCACCACGGCGGAGGAGATGACCCTATGCTGGGGCTGCTGCTGCAGGTACTGCTGCTGCAGCGCCTGCTGATGGACCGCCTGCTGCACGGACACTGACCGAGAGCCCCTGCGCGCGCAGCTGCTGCACCACGGCGGAGGAGATGACCCTATGCTGGGGCTGCTGCTGCAGGTACTGCTGCTGCAGCGCCTGCTGATGGACCGCCTGCTGCACGGACACTGACCGAGAGCCCCTGCGCGCGCAGCTGCTGCACCACGGCGGAGGAGATGACCCTATGCTGGGGCTGCTGCTGCAGGTACTGCTGCTGCAGCGCCTGCTGATGGACCGCCTGCTGCACGGACACTGACCGAGAGCCCCTGCGCGCGCAGCTGCTGCACCACGGCGGAGGAGATGACCCGCAGCTGGGGCTGCTGCTGCAGGTACTGCTGCTGCAGCGCCTGCTGATGGACCGCCTGCTGCACGGACACTGACCGAGAGCCCCTGCGCGCGCAGCTGCTGCACCACGGCGGAGGAGATGACCCGCAGCTGGGGCTGCTGCTGCAGGTACTGCTGCTGCAGCGCCTGCTGATGGACCGCCTGCTGCACGGACACTGACCGAGAGCCCCTGCGCGCGCAGCTGCTGCACCACGGCGGAGGAGATGACCCGCAGCTGGGGCTGCTGCTGCAGGTACTGCTGCTGCAGCGCCTGCTGATGGACCGCCTGCTGCACGGACACTGACCGAGAGCCCCTGCGCGCGCAGCTGCTGCACCACGGCGGAGGAGATGACCCTATGCTGGGGCTGCTGCTGCAGGTACTGCTGCTGCAGCGCCTGCTGATGGACCGCCTGCTGCACGGACACTGACCGAGAGCCCCTGCGCGCGCAGCTGCTGCACCACGGCGGAGGAGATGACCCGCAGCTGGGGCTGCTGCTGCAGGTACTGCTGCTGCAGCGCCTGCTGATGGACCGCCTGCTGCACGGACACTGACCGAGAGCCCCTGCGCGCGCAGCTGCTGCACCACGGCGGAGGAGATGACCCTATGCTGGGGCTGCTGCTGCAGGTACTGCTGCTGCAGCGCCTGCTGATGGACCGCCTGCTGCACGGACACTGACCGAGAGCCCCTGCGCGCGCAGCTGCTGCACCACGGCGGAGGAGATGACCCTATGCTGGGGCTGCTGCTGCAGGTACTGCTGCTGCAGCGCCTGCTGATGGACCGCCTGCTGCACGGACACTGACCGAGAGCCCCTGCGCGCGCAGCTGCTGCACCACGGCGGAGGAGATGACCCTATGCTGGGGCTGCTGCTGCAGGTACTGCTGCTGCAGCGCCTGCTGATGGACCGCCTGCTGCACGGACACTGACCGAGAGCCCCTGCGCGCGCAGCTGCTGCACCACGGCGGAGGAGATGACCCTATGCTGGGGCTGCTGCTGCAGGTACTGCTGCTGCAGCGCCTGCTGATGGACCGCCTGCTGCACGGACACTGACCGAGAGCCCCTGCGCGCGCAGCTGCTGCACCACGGCGGAGGAGATGACCCTATGCTGGGGCTGCTGCTGCAGGTACTGCTGCTGCAGCGCCTGCTGATGGACCGCCTGCTGCACGGACACTGACCGAGAGCCCCTGCGCGCGCAGCTGCTGCACCACGGCGGAGGAGATGACCCGCAGCTGGGGCTGCTGCTGCAGGTACTGCTGCTGCAGCGCCTGCTGATGGACCGCCTGCTGCACGGACACTGACCGAGAGCCCCTGCGCGCGCAGCTGCTGCACCACGGCGGAGGAGATGACCCTATGCTGGGGCTGCTGCTGCAGGTACTGCTGCTGCAGCGCCTGCTGATGGACCGCCTGCTGCACGGACACTGACCGAGAGCCCCTGCGCGCGCAGCTGCTGCACCACGGCGGAGGAGATGACCCGCAGCTGGGGCTGCTGCTGCAGGTACTGCTGCTGCAGCGCCTGCTGATGGACCGCCTGCTGCACGGACACTGACCGAGAGCCCCTGCGCGCGCAGCTGCTGCACCACGGCGGAGGAGATGACCCGCAGCTGGGGCTGCTGCTGCAGGTACTGCTGCTGCAGCGCCTGCTGATGGACCGCCTGCTGCACGGACACTGACCGAGAGCCCCTGCGCGCGCAGCTGCTGCACCACGGCGGAGGAGATGACCCGCAGCTGGGGCTGCTGCTGCAGGTACTGCTGCTGCAGCGCCTGCTGATGGACCGCCTGCTGCACGGACACTGACCGAGAGCCCCTGCGCGCGCAGCTGCTGCACCACGGCGGAGGAGATGACCCTATGCTGGGGCTGCTGCTGCAGGTACTGCTGCTGCAGCGCCTGCTGATGGACCGCCTGCTGCACGGACACTGACCGAGAGCCCCTGCGCGCGCAGCTGCTGCACCACGGCGGAGGAGATGACCCTATGCTGGGGCTGCTGCTGCAGGTACTGCTGCTGCAGCGCCTGCTGATGGACCGCCTGCTGCACGGACACTGACCGAGAGCCCCTGCGCGCGCAGCTGCTGCACCACGGCGGAGGAGATGACCCTATGCTGGGGCTGCTGCTGCAGGTACTGCTGCTGCAGCGCCTGCTGATGGACCGCCTGCTGCACGGACACTGACCGAGAGCCCCTGCGCGCGCAGCTGCTGCACCACGGCGGAGGAGATGACCCGCAGCTGGGGCTGCTGCTGCAGGTACTGCTGCTGCAGCGCCTGCTGATGGACCGCCTGCTGCACGGACACTGACCGAGAGCCCCTGCGCGCGCAGCTGCTGCACCACGGCGGAGGAGATGACCCGCAGCTGGGGCTGCTGCTGCAGGTACTGCTGCTGCAGCGCCTGCTGATGGACCGCCTGCTGCACGGACACTGACCGAGAGCCCCTGCGCGCGCAGCTGCTGCACCACGGCGGAGGAGATGACCCGCAGCTGGGGCTGCTGCTGCAGGTACTGCTGCTGCAGCGCCTGCTGATGGACCGCCTGCTGCACGGACACTGACCGAGAGCCCCTGCGCGCGCAGCTGCTGCACCACGGCGGAGGAGATGACCCGCAGCTGGGGCTGCTGCTGCAGGTACTGCTGCTGCAGCGCCTGCTGATGGACCGCCTGCTGCACGGACACTGACCGAGAGCCCCTGCGCGCGCAGCTGCTGCACCACGGCGGAGGAGATGACCCGCAGCTGGGGCTGCTGCTGCAGGTACTGCTGCTGCAGCGCCTGCTGATGGACCGCCTGCTGCACGGACACTGACCGAGAGCCCCTGCGCGCGCAGCTGCTGCACCACGGCGGAGGAGATGACCCTATGCTGGGGCTGCTGCTGCAGGTACTGCTGCTGCAGCGCCTGCTGATGGACCGCCTGCTGCACGGACACTGACCGAGAGCCCCTGCGCGCGCAGCTGCTGCACCACGGCGGAGGAGATGACCCTATGCTGGGGCTGCTGCTGCAGGTACTGCTGCTGCAGCGCCTGCTGATGGACCGCCTGCTGCACGGACACTGACCGAGAGCCCCTGCGCGCGCAGCTGCTGCACCACGGCGGAGGAGATGACCCGCAGCTGGGGCTGCTGCTGCAGGTACTGCTGCTGCAGCGCCTGCTGATGGACCGCCTGCTGCACGGACACTGACCGAGAGCCCCTGCGCGCGCAGCTGCTGCACCACGGCGGAGGAGATGACCCGCAGCTGGGGCTGCTGCTGCAGGTACTGCTGCTGCAGCGCCTGCTGATGGACCGCCTGCTGCACGGACACTGACCGAGAGCCCCTGCGCGCGCAGCTGCTGCACCACGGCGGAGGAGATGACCCGCAGCTGGGGCTGCTGCTGCAGGTACTGCTGCTGCAGCGCCTGCTGATGGACCGCCTGCTGCACGGACACTGACCGAGAGCCCCTGCGCGCGCAGCTGCTGCACCACGGCGGAGGAGATGACCCTATGCTGGGGCTGCTGCTGCAGGTACTGCTGCTGCAGCGCCTGCTGATGGACCGCCTGCTGCACGGACACTGACCGAGAGCCCCTGCGCGCGCAGCTGCTGCACCACGGCGGAGGAGATGACCCTATGCTGGGGCTGCTGCTGCAGGTACTGCTGCTGCAGCGCCTGCTGATGGACCGCCTGCTGCACGGACACTGACCGAGAGCCCCTGCGCGCGCAGCTGCTGCACCACGGCGGAGGAGATGACCCGCAGCTGGGGCTGCTGCTGCAGGTACTGCTGCTGCAGCGCCTGCTGATGGACCGCCTGCTGCACGGACACTGACCGAGAGCCCCTGCGCGCGCAGCTGCTGCACCACGGCGGAGGAGATGACCCTAGCTGGGGCTGCTGCTGCAGGTACTGCTGCTGCAGCGCCTGCTGATGGACCGCCTGCTGCACGGACACTGACCGAGAGCCCCTGCGCGCGCAGCTGCTGCACCACGGCGGAGGAGATGACCCTATGCTGGGGCTGCTGCTGCAGGTACTGCTGCTGCAGCGCCTGCTGATGGACCGCCTGCTGCACGGACACTGACCGAGAGCCCCTGCGCGCGCAGCTGCTGCACCACGGCGGAGGAGATGACCCGCAGCTGGGGCTGCTGCTGCAGGTACTGCTGCTGCAGCGCCTGCTGATGGACCGCCTGCTGCACGGACACTGACCGAGAGCCCCTGCGCGCGCAGCTGCTGCACCACGGCGGAGGAGATGACCCGCAGCTGGGGCTGCTGCTGCAGGTACTGCTGCTGCAGCGCCTGCTGATGGACCGCCTGCTGCACGGACACTGACCGAGAGCCCCTGCGCGCGCAGCTGCTGCACCACGGCGGAGGAGATGACCCGCAGCTGGGGCTGCTGCTGCAGGTACTGCTGCTGCAGCGCCTGCTGATGGACCGCCTGCTGCACGGACACTGACCGAGAGCCCCTGCGCGCGCAGCTGCTGCACCACGGCGGAGGAGATGACCCGCAGCTGGGGCTGCTGCTGCAGGTACTGCTGCTGCAGCGCCTGCTGATGGACCGCCTGCTGCACGGACACTGACCGAGAGCCCCTGCGCGCGCAGCTGCTGCACCACGGCGGAGGAGATGACCCTATGCTGGGGCTGCTGCTGCAGGTACTGCTGCTGCAGCGCCTGCTGATGGACCGCCTGCTGCACGGACACTGACCGAGAGCCCCTGCGCGCGCAGCTGCTGCACCACGGCGGAGGAGATGACCCTATGCTGGGGCTGCTGCTGCAGGTACTGCTGCTGCAGCGCCTGCTGATGGACCGCCTGCTGCACGGACACTGACCGAGAGCCCCTGCGCGCGCAGCTGCTGCACCACGGCGGAGGAGATGACCCGCAGCTGGGGCTGCTGCTGCAGGTACTGCTGCTGCAGCGCCTGCTGATGGACCGCCTGCTGCACGGACACTGACCGAGAGCCCCTGCGCGCGCAGCTGCTGCACCACGGCGGAGGAGATGACCCGCAGCTGGGGCTGCTGCTGCAGGTACTGCTGCTGCAGCGCCTGCTGATGGACCGCCTGCTGCACGGACACTGACCGAGAGCCCCTGCGCGCGCAGCTGCTGCACCACGGCGGAGGAGATGACCCGCAGCTGGGCTGCTGCTGCAGGTACTGCTGCTGCAGCGCCTGCTGATGGACCGCCTGCTGCACGGACACTGACCGAGAGCCCCTGCGCGCGCAGCTGCTGCACCACGGCGGAGGAGATGACCCGCAGCTGGGGCTGCTGCTGCAGGTACTGCTGCTGCAGCGCCTGCTGATGGACCGCCTGCTGCACGGACACTGACCGAGAGCCCCTGCGCGCGCAGCTGCTGCACCACGGCGGAGGAGATGACCCCTGCTGGGCTGCTGCTGCAGGTACTGCTGCTGCAGCGCCTGCTGATGGACCGCCTGCTGCACGGACACTGACCGAGAGCCCCTGCGCGCGCAGCTGCTGCACCACGGCGGAGGAGATGACCCTATGCTGGGGCTGCTGCTGCAGGTACTGCTGCTGCAGCGCCTGCTGATGGACCGCCTGCTGCACGACACTGACCGAGAGCCCCTGCGCGCGCAGCTGCTGCACCACGGCGGAGGAGATGACCCTAAGCTGGGGCTGCTGCTGCAGGTACTGCTGCTGCAGCGCCTGCTGATGGACCGCCTGCTGCACGGACACTGACCGAGAGCCCCTGCGCGCGCAGCTGCTGCACCACGGCGGAGGAGATGACCCTATGCTGGGGCTGCTGCTGCAGGTACTGCTGCTGCAGCGCCTGCTGATGGACCGCCTGCTGCACGGACACTGACCGAGAGCCCCTGCGCGCGCAGCTGCTGCACCACGGCGGAGGAGATGACCCTATGCTGGGGCTGCTGCTGCAGGTACTGCTGCTGCAGCGCCTGCTGATGGACCGCCTGCTGCACGGACACTGACCGAGAGCCCCTGCGCGCGCAGCTGCTGCACCACGGCGGAGGAGATGACCCTATGCTGGGGCTGCTGCTGCAGGTACTGCTGCTGCAGCGCCTGCTGATGGACCGCCTGCTGCACGGACACTGACCGAGAGCCCCTGCGCGCGCAGCTGCTGCACCACGGCGGAGGAGATGACCGCCTGCTGCACGGACACTGACCGAGAGCCCCTGCGCGCGCAGCTGCTGCACCACGGCGGAGGAGATGACCCGCAGCTGGGGCTGCTGCTGCAGGTACTGCTGCTGCAGCGCTGCTGATGGACCGCCTGCTGCACGGACACTGACCGAGAGCCCCTGCGCGCGCAGCTGCTGCACCACGGCGGAGGAGATGACCCGCAGCTGGGGCTGCTGCTGCAGGTACTGCTGCTGCAGCGCCTGCTGATGGACCGCCTGCTGCACGGACACTGACCGAGAGCCCCTGCGCGCGCAGCTGCTGCACCACGGCGGAGGAGATGACCCGCAGCTGGGGCTGCTGCTGCAGGTACTGCTGCTGCAGCGCCTGCTGATGGACCGCCTGCTGCACGGACACTGACCGAGAGCCCCTGCGCGCGCAGCTGCTGCACCACGGCGGAGGAGATGACCCGCAGCTGGGGCTGCTGCTGCAGGTACTGCTGCTGCAGCGCCGCGAGCGCGCCCTCGCCGGCCTGCTGCTGCAGGAGCGCCGCCGCTTGCTGCTGCACCACCGCCTGCTGCACCGCCTGCTGCTGCACCGCCTGCTGCACCGCCTGCTGCTGCGCCTGCTGCACCGCTTGCTGCTGCGCCGCCTGCTGAGCTTGCTGCTGCGCCTGCTGCTGCGCCTGCTGTTGCGCCTGCTGCTGCGCCTGTTGCTGAGCCTGTTGCTGGGCCTGCTGCTGTTGTTGAGGACCTGAACGAGATTTTCATCGTAAAGCAATCGGTCGATCTATACTAATAGGTCCTCTTTAATACAGTAGGTTTTTACTGAAAATGTAAAGTAGAAAATGTAAAGTCTTATGAGGATTTGTCACCTAAAACAGGTATCTGTTTTAATTAGGTCCTCTTTAATATAGTAGGTTTTTACTGAAAATGTAAAGTAGAAAATGTAAAGTCTTATGAGGATTTGTCACCTAAAACAAGTATCTGTTTTAATAGTTTTAAATTACCAAGCCAGTTATTAAATTCTCGGATAATTCTTATCTGTGATATAAATATCTGTCATAGAAAATCAAATTAATATAAGTTACTTAGGTATATCAGACAAAAAATATTTCTGGGGATTCAACAATCTGCCATTAATCAAACTTGTAGTGCCTTGCCTAACCCTGACATTGGCAAAATTATCATGCATAATGACGGAGCCATAATATCCAAAGTGAAAGTGGTAGTCATCCATATTACTAGTAAATTATAATTTAAAATTTAACATTATCCATGAATGACACATGTATGATACTGAAATATGAATATAATGAGTGAGACTGACTGTAGTGCTGTTGGTCCTTGTCTCCGGTCTGGTGGTCGGGCCCCATGCTGGCGGCGCCCAGGCGGCTGCACGTGGCGGCCAGCAGCGCCAGCGGCGACTGGGTGCCACTACACTCCTGCGTACCAACAACACAGATAATTCAAAATCATTTATTCAATTTAAGCTTTTACAATCTCCGTGAAAATCAAAAGCTATGCAACCGGTTTGTAAATCTAGGGCGGAAGCATTACTTGCTCAGTGGGCGGGAGACTTTATATTATTCAGAGAAGAACAAGCAAGAAACTCACCAAGAACTATTTTAACAAGATCCAACTCATTTAAAAAAATATACTAAGACTAAAGGGTAACAAAAACAGAAGATGTTACCTGTAAATTTTATATTAAAAATAGTCTGTTTAGTTTAACAAGTATGAGTAAAATAACACTTATTTTATAAAGTTGTGTTCCTGTTGGTGAGTAATATAAAATAACACTTACATTAAGTGGGCTTCTGTTTCTGGTATAGAGTAAAATAACAGTGACAAACTATAAGGAAGAAAAGCATTCCATCCTCAGTTCCGTTAGTTCAGTTAGTGTTCCAAACAGAGATAGGCTGGTTCAGCGACACAGCCCTGAGATTAATGTCATTAACTTTATGTATTAGAGAGTATCTCTAAAACTGTAAATTGGATCTTATACCCTCAAAACTTTCCCACACTCTACATATTAATTAGTATGATTTAAAAACCCCTAACTTGGGTCTTACAACAATAGTATGCAACATATTACTGATTATTGTGTTCCTATAATATCACAAGATAAAGTAAATCACATCTTTTTGATTGATTCTTCTACATAAAGGTTTAGGTATTAAGTTAAAGGTTGAACATGTATCTAATCTAATTTATTAATTAACTATGTTTACCATCAGTACTATCTTTAATCAAGATTTACCTTCTTGCTTCATATGAATTTCACTAAAACAAATAGAATGATTGTCTTAGCTACTCAGATATATCAATTGAATTAAATACTTGTAGCATAGAAAGTGACACAACAAACTTAAGCCAAATTAAAAATTTAATAACTTTTCTGAGAGCGCTCTCTGTGTCTCTCTTATTCTTTTAAAATATAAGATTTTTACCATGACAGCTGTAAGATTTTAATATTTACAGATTGAAATATGGATATAAATAAAAATATTTTGATATTGTTAAATAAATATACGGGGCCTAATTCTGACGTGCTTATTCAAGGTTGGTGGTGAATTTGGAGGAGGTTTTTCCTTTTCATGTTCTATAGATGTTGATGAGAGTTTAACCCTGCCGAGTTTGGTTTTGGGTTTATGGAAAGAAGCTGGAATTGAGTCCATTAGCTTATAAACCCAGTGCAGATAAGTAATTATAGCTCTAAGTGACAAATCAGTGCAGCAAAAACATAAAAGATTAACAACAAAATAAAAAACTGGTCAGGTGCAAGTCTGACCTCGCTCTAATAAGGTTCTGTAAAATCATTAGTTTGTTTTCGTCACAGCTTACACAGTACATTATAAATCATGAACTTTCAGTATCTTTTATTTATATAAAGCATATGGGACATCAAATAGCTAAATTTCACAACTAGTTTGTATTTTGTGAGTTCCATAACTCACTTCTGTTTATGATCTCTTGACTGATCTCTGTTTATGGACTCTTGTCCTGTGACAAACACACAGACAGCAGAGTGATAGCAATAGAATTCAGTTTTTCCCTTTGGCTAAAAAGGTCCAGACAAAGAGTCTGCAGATCTGATAAACACACTGTGATCACAGGTACTAGGTACTTAATTATATAATAAGATAACTCATCAGTGGTAAAGGAAGATAAAACCATGACAGAAGAAGGTGTTGAATTAATATAATGGTGGTATAGAACAACAAGTATAACTACATGAAGTAAAGGGATATTTTAAAAAAAATTGTGTCAAGCGGAATAAACAAACAAGCAGTAAGTACACAACAGATTGGAAAGTTTTTTGTCTTTAATAAACAGTATAACTTGGGTGGCTACCAAAGGATTAAAGTATCTTGTAAATAAATGAAATACTTACCTAGTTATGAGAGACTTTCTTTAATTTATCTATGAGCTAAGCATAGGGCAAAGATGAAACCAGATATTTAGCTGTTATGCTAATTATTCATTAATTGCCATAAAAATCATTTCGGTCAGAGTTCTTAAAAATGTACTTAATTACCTCATTGATTCTTGTCATCAATATGTAACATTAATTCATTATCACAACCACAAAAGTTTTAATTATTTCATTTATTTTTTTAAAAATCAGGAGACTTACAAAAAATATAAACAAATATAGGCTCAATTTGTGTTAGTGTCATGTAATTACTAATTACAATTACTAAAACGTTAGCAATTACTTTCTCTATGCTAATTACTAAAACACGAATGAATGATAGAACGATTGGAAAGTAGGTAAAAAACCTTCTTTTTCGAATTTCATAGACAACTTTTGGTTACAAGAAATTTTTTTTTTAAATTGATCCTGAAATTATTAAATAAATTAAAATTTCCATAAAATCTAGGAAACCTTTACGTAGTGCTACAGTTTCGGATAAAAAGCGCTTTTAACAGATCTTTAAAGTAGCAATGTTTGGAGTGAAAGGATAGATAATAAGCGTCTGAAATAATAAAAAAAAAGTTTTGAAAGTGCAGCAATTTGTCCATATCAACAACATCATAGTTGTATGAAGTCGACACGCCTTTTCCTAACAAGTGCCGGGAGTCGTCGTACGCAAGGCCGCTGCCGCCCTTTGATCCACCCACATTAAATCGTGACTGTGATTTGTATGCAGTTGCTAACTAGAATATTACGGACATATTAGCTACTAGAACTTCAGGTACTTGAATAATGTGTTATAGACCTTTGCTTCGTAAATTGACATATTATAGATATAAATAACACTTTATTAATAAGTCGAAATACAGGTATTCGATTGAAATGGCGAACAAAGCTTCGTACATTACTTCCACTCGAAAGATATCTGTAATATGATTAGTTGCATAGATGTAACATTGTAACACGTGGTAATTTTATTGAAAATGGGTGGGCATCAAACTGAAGGAGGACGATGATACTATTTCGGCAAGGGAGTAGCTTGCGACACGGTCACAACCTCCTGCGTGTGGCCTGACGGCGGCGGCGGCGGGCCCCACACGGCCGGGGCCGCACTCGCCCCGCCCTCCCCCTGCGCCAACACGAGACCGCTGCCCGCTAGCGTCCGATCAGTTACACAATAACACTAAAGCATTCCTCTTGCCACTAATTACCTTGCTATTTTTGTCCTCACTTATGTATTCCACTTGCACTTTTGAAGGCTCAGACGACATTATCCACTTTACACTCACAAACAAATATTTTCCTTTGTTCGCGTACGGAACACACCATTCTCACGACCGGCCGCCAAACTGTGGCGAGCATACTGTCGACAAGAACCGATCACAGTCGGAAATGTTCGGAGATCCGCCTCCTATCGCGGTCAGACTTGTGCCAATTTTATTCACTTTTAAAGTACTTATTGTAAATATCATGACCTGTTAACGGGTTTTCAACAATATTCATAGCATATGTTAAACTACACGAGGTTTGTAAATTAACATCATCGTAATATAGTGATGTAAAAATTTTTTTTAGTTTACGGAGATATCTCTGTCTCACTCTATCAAAGACAGGTCTTGATTATTGGTAGGCAGCAGCTGCGCCTCTCCTCCTCCCCTTCACGGGTGCGGCAGTGTGGACTGCCACCCGATAATAATAATTGAAAGTAGGAAGGACGTAATAATGGGTGTATAACCTCTAGCCCGCGGCCTCCTTGGGCGGGTAAAAAAATGCACACATGTCATTCATCTCTACTCAATATTCCAGTCATGACGTTTTTGGAATGATTCATAGACAAACAATCAAACTGGAAAATATTCTAATTGCAATAAATGCATTGTTTATCGACTTAATTGCGTATTAATTCCAATCACATACGATGTTTTTATTATTAATAATATATTTTTTATATTGGTATTTTATTTTTATCATGGATATAAAAAAGTACATTTAAATATCAGAACTTACTTAAATCATAACTTAAAATACCCATTTAGAATAGGGCAGACATATTGTTTATGGCATTGTCTAATAGAGTAAGGGCAAAGCTGATTTCCTGCTTGAATTTTATGGTTCGTCTGGAAAAGTACCTTCAACCTTTATGAAGACTGCAGCAAAATAATAATAAGAAACAGTAAATCATAGAAACTTTTGTGTTCCTCCAGTACCTACTCAATTTGATACGTTATATAGGTCAAGCACGATCAGGATAAATAACTCGCGATTGATATTCATTAGTCAGTTCTCCGGTTTTGTCTATAGACTGGAGGCTCCTTATCCACATATGGGTCACAAGCTTGTTTATCCTTAAAATCCTTTTAATTTTAATATGAATTAAGCATATTAGGCATCATATCTGAATCTACTCGATTGTTTCATATTTTAGAGTTTATATGCGTGTGCAAATTTTTCCGTTTTATTGATACGCAGACTGGTTCAAAATGAGAGTGAAAGTACAGCGACGTTTTGTCAAGCGTCAGCCACGTCGCGCGTCTCGTCGCTCGCCCCGAGTCCATTATGCACGAATGAACAGCCGCCCCGAGAGAACGTGTGTCCCCGGTTTAATTATTTGACCTTGATTTGTACCGATAATAGATCGTACGGCATGGTAATATAAAGTTCAAATTTCCATAGAACTGCAAATATAAGCATACGTTTTCAAAAAACCAGTATTGTGCTTCAAAGATAAGCTTTAAATAGTTGGTTTTAAAGTTTATTTTGGCTATAATGTATTTCCAATTGTAAGCTGTTTTTGTCTGACTATTTCTATTATGGGTGTACCTCAGTGGCGTGGCGCGACGTGCGTGCCACGGTACGGAGGCATGCGGTGATGATGTGGTTATTGTTTGAGCATTGCTGCTTAATTAGTCGATGAGCACAACCAGTGAAATCATCGCTGTTTATTCATTATTTTGGTTCTTTTATTCAATACAATCCATCCATACTAATATAAATGAATGTGAAAGTGTGTCTGTATGTCTGTCTGGTACCTTTTCAGAACTGTTGCTTTAAATTACTGAACCGATTTAAATGAATTTTGGTGAAATTTGAATAATTTTTCTTCTAGAAATCACTCTTTAAAAGGGTGAAAGGGTGGTTCAAGTTTCTATGGGAAACTAATTTTTCCACACAGACGCAGTTATGGTCTCCCATTACTATGGCATAAAATTGTAAATTCGTTATTTTAAGGTTAGTAGTAGATGTAGGGACTTGAACTAAGATTTTTGCAATTTCTTTAAAAAGCCAATTTATATTATTAAATGTAATTTTATCTTCTTCTTATCTTTTACTGATTAAATCAATTGATATGGATATTACATATCAGATACTGATATAGATACTTCATAACCAGGGGCGTGCACAGCACAACTCCACCCAGTGGTCACTAAAATCATTGTTTAAAAATGGATATAACAAGACACACACAAGACAGTAGGTAGGTACTGATAAAAATATCGTGCTTGGCATTTCTTTCAAAGTAAGTTGAGCCATCTGCTCGTATGCCCACAGATATTTAAAACGTACCTATACCTTATTACAAGAGAATAGTTAAATTAATTTGTTATTTGTTAATATTCACAAATTATATTTGTAAATCCACATAAACTCCCATACATCATTACTGTTATTATAAATGCGGAAGTGTGTTTTATCTGTCTGTTACTTCTTAACGCTTAAACCTCTAAACCGATTTAGATGAAGTTTGGTAAAGGGATTATTTGAGTCCCAGAGAAGGACAGAATAGTTTTTATTCTAGAAATTACCCCTTAAGTGGTTGAAAACGGGGGTGTAAGTTTGTATGCGAAACCAATTTTTCCACGCAGATGAAGTTACGCCTACTATTGTAATTTTTTTATTACAATAGCTCTAAAATAAGTGGAAGTAAAATAATATGTCATTGTTTTTAGTGAAATATTAAACCCCAATTGTTACAAAGCAAGTTATTATTAAGTACCTACTATAACTCATTTGTTTGAAATAATATTAACATGTTTTATTATCCTACTGTTCCTTTAACGCAGGTTGTGTTGCATGAGCGTGTTTTAAGTGTTAAAGCTATACATAGATCTTGAGTTAAATAAATGGGTACCCACATCTAGAACTAAAACTCCTAATCTTCTCTGGCCTTCTATACCTAAAGAAGATGATGAATGAGCACACTTTGCTGAACTTAAGTACTTAATTGTGAATATAAAAATTAAAGACAGTGTTTCTGCAATGAGTGTAGTTAACAGGTGGAAGGTCATAATACTTAATGCTAGTGAAACGGAAGCGGAAGTGACGGTGGGCGGACCGGACCGCCTGTGCCACCCGCCCCCGCGCCCGCGCCCAGACACGCCCTAGCTCTCATCACTCATGCTGCATCTACCACTAATTATCACGCACGCTGTCCAATATCTCAAGGTCACGTCGCATTCACACCCCAATGCTTTATATGGTAAACATCTAGTAACTATATTTGTAATTCTAATAATTTGGTTGGTAACCCAATTTTGTTTAAAGTATTTTTGTATGTATGTGGCGGTGTCAAATCAGACATTATTAATCAGCAATGTATACCTATGATATGACAGGTCAATCACAAAAATTAACCAATGAAATTATTGAAGTACTGGGAAATTGCATGCAGACGACTCGTTTCTATCATGATAATTTTTACCATTCATTCCTAAATCAATTTCCCTTTCCTTTTGCGTGCGGTCCTAAGTAACCCAAATCTAAAGTAAGACATCCGTGTCCGCCTTATTCCATAACGCGGACTAAAGCTAGTCTTGGTTTCAACCCAATGTTGTCTCCATCTTTTTTTAGCAACTAAAAGTGACACCATTAGTTTAAGTCTACGTTTTGTAATAAGGTGGTACGTATCTTAGGTACGTAGATATTCATCTTTTGCAGAAAGAGACCAAATTGTTTAGTTATTAACCTAGTCACGAAATAAATTTTATTTTAGAATTTTAAAATTTATGAATTTGAATGAAGTTTCAGTTCATTGTCAGTTGTCAGTCAATTGTCAGAAGTTCAGAGGCCTTTTGTGGAGACAAGCGAAGATTGAATCTCACCTAGTTACTATAGCTTACTTTCAACTGTATACCCCACTTACTCCAAATACCAGCATCACTTACAACAATTTAATAGGCGTTACTTTGTTCGGAAGATTTGAGTCATATGCGCGGGAAATATAGCAACTATGCAATTGACCTACTCCTTTAATAGTTTTTAAGTTAACTGCACGTCAGAATGGTTAATTCATTAACAATTCAATTATGTGATTTTCTATTTGACGACCTCCGTGGCCGATTGGTATGAACTCCGGGTTTCAAGGTCTCGCCTACTCGAGAGGTCCCGGGTTCGAATCCCGATGGGGGCAGATGTTTGTGTGATGAACACGAGCATTTGTACACCAATCATGGATGTTTAATAATTATTTCTATATAAATATAATGTACTTATACATGTACAGTATATGTATTGTATCCGTTACCCTAGTATCCCATAACACAAACCTTATACTTTGGGGCTAGGCTAATTGGTGTGAGTGTTGGAAATATTTATTTGTTTATTATTATTATTGTCAAACAGATCTCTTTTACTAAAAATTACCAACAGTAAATATAATCACTATGCAGAAAACAGGTCTGATTCATATTCTACACATTCTTTACAGTATAAATATATAAATATGTGATTCACTGGTAGTGTACTCGTATGAATTAAGTCTACTCTGCAACAAAGGCATGACGGACCTAATAAAACAGAATGCACCTGCTGTTTACTTTTTAATGCAGGCAGTAAATATCTTTTCAGAGGTAAATTTTAATACAAGTAGGATATGAACTGGCAATCCATCTTACTGCTTCTTAGATTTACTTAAAACGTTCCAAAATTATTTATTTATTTATAGGTAGGTACATCCACAGCATAACATACAAGACAATCATAATACATAGAGGATTATTTTGACTGTTTATGTTTGAAATGAATGAAATCAAATTATACTTCATTCAAATGGACTTATTGAAAGCTCTTTTGAATCATCCAATATTTTTTTCTACCAATTATATGTACACAACAATTCCCTTATAAACGATATGGGAACTCATTGGTGTCAATTGTGACACGATTCTCTAAACCTAAACTTAAATTTGACAACAGCGTATCCTTGTCATTCTCTATACGGAATGAAAAGAATAGATTGATGTTAAATTTAGTTTTAAATTTAGAGAATCACGCCAGGATCGACACCATTGACTTATTATTAACAATATTATTAAAACAAAAATAAAAAATCAAACTACGCCGAGCGTAGAGGATGCAATATATTGTTTATCAAATTCAGGGGGAATCGTTGAAAATGTCAATACTGGGCCCGTTAATCGAAATTTCGTGATACTAGTTGCATACCCTAGCTATGGGATAGTGAATGAATAAGTTCGTTTGGTGAGTCAGTATGTAAAATATTTTGCGAAAGTTCGTATGTACAGCAATTCCAATTTCACCGAGAAGATGACTATCTTTTGACGTCATTATTAAGTATTTTATGTAGAAACATTACATTAACTAAAGAAACTGCAAATGTACACGTGTTTTCTTAACTTATTGTGCCCTATCTTTTGAAAATAATAATATACATAGAATAGTAGAATCCTGCAATAAGTAATTGTAGTATAATAAATTGCAACAACCAATGTAGTGATAGGATAACCTATCTAAGATAAGTTAAGAGAAACTTTAACATACGACTACTTCTCTTAATGAAATATTGGCATTATTAAGTGCAGAGTATATTTTCTTTAGCATGTTATGAATGATCTAAAATTGTATGATAAAAGTATACTTAGTGAATTACCTATCTAAATTATTTGATAGCAAAATTTACGTAAATTTTTCGGTATTAAAACAGATCTGTATCTAATATGTGTGAGTTAAGATAAATAAGAAGTGCTAATTTTTATTTTTTAAGCATTTGGCTTCTTTAGATTTTAATTAGTATTACATTATGTAATGACATGTTATTTACAATTTGTATGACGAGGTGAAATATTACTTTATATATAAAATTAAAAATACAATGTTTTATAAATAGCTGAAGTAAGTTTACTTAAGGTTTTGAAAATCCCGTCTATAAGTGCCAATCATTATTTTTAACTTGTAGGAATGCGGAAGAACAGCGCCCACCCACCGCCCGCCCGCGCCCGCGACACTAGCTCGCGGGGGCGTTACCACCGCCCTACGCCGCATGCCGCATGCCGTGGCCACGCGCCACTTCATCTGTAACGCACTAACTTTTTCCCGCCAATTCTGAAAAACTTAACATTAATAGATAAACCCCTACTAAAATAATCTATTTAATTGTATTTGTTTTTGTTAATTTTGCTAAACTAAAACATTAACTATCCCTAATTGAAAAAAATGTATATTTAAAAGTTCTGTAAAACATGACCTAATGAAAACCATTCAAATGTGTCTGCGGCCGGATTTTTTATCATTCATTCGCTCATTTACTGATTTATTGATAAATATTGTCTATGGATTTGCAGTATTGAATACTATTGAATTTTCTTTCATCCATTTCAAGGATATACTAATACGGTATTAAATATTGTTGATCCATTTGGATGTGATTTGGATAATCATTAAAAATACTTACTTTGCATTTATACAAATTGCATTTCCTTAGTTTATAATAATGTAATTCGAATCCCGGTTTGATTTATTTTAATCTGAGGAAACATCAACACCTTTGTCGATAATACAGTAAAACAAGAACGTCAGTCATAAAACCAGATCTCAGCATCTGATGATCAGATTCTGATCACAGGATCTGAATCTGATTATCTTATCAATACAAGACCAATTACAAAATACTTTCTAAGGGTGCGGCCAGAGTGCACTCAGATTCAGATTCAGATTCAGATTTCGAAAACAAGCGCGAGAAATAAACAGTGTAGTCGAAGGGTACGGCCAGATTGCACTCCTGATTTAGATTCAGATTCAGACTCAGAAAACAAAGCGCGAGAAAAAGCAGGCAACCTGCTTAGACTACACTGTTTATTTCTCGCGCTTGTTTTCAGAATCTGAATCTGACTCTGAATCTGAGTGCACTCTGGCCGCACCCTAAGCTACCATGGGGTGCGCTGCGTTCGCTTGTATACAAGTTGTGTATGGCTGCATACATCAATAAACGAATAAATTATGATGATCTTATTTTGGGTTTTCTATTGTTGTGAATGTTTACTATGTTTTGATTTTGTCTGTAAGTATTCTACTATTGTTTGTAATGTGACTGAAGCCATTGTAGGACACTACTTTTTTACTAGATGGCGCTTTTTGAGCTTATATTGCAACAAATGAAATGTTGAACGTCTCGAAAACTTATAGCACATACGTGCTATAAGTTTTCATAAGTGCATAGGTTTAATGTAGTTCAGGGCAGGGCAGGGCAAGGGCACAAAGTTTTGAGATTTAGAGCTTGTGATTATTGTTATTATCGTAGTACTCCTTATTTTCACCAGGTGGCGTTTTCCAAGCACGCCTAAAAATTACATTTCCAAGTAGGCTGGTTGGTACTTACTCAATAAAATATAAATTTGTAGTCGAGATCGAGTATTAAACAATATTCGCCTTCTCTTTTAACATACCTACCTGAATTTACCTACCGGAAGTTATGGGTTACTATGTAACATAATTATGGTGCTCTAGATGTCACTGTTGATATTTTTTCCATGCATTTTCATTTTTATCAATATTCCATCACATCAACAGCTGAACGATTGTATAAACACAAAGTACCTAAATATCTTCGTTTTAAAATAGAATAGCTGAGAGTCGCACATGCTCATGGACTTCATCCTATACTACCACTTGACGTAGACAGAGAATGACACCTACATGGACATTATTTATCTTTAAAATTAACACGACACATGATTTTTCTTATGGAGCAACTCCGTCTGTATACTTACCTTCGATTATTATATCTAATAACCCGTAATTGATTAGTTTCCAGTTAATGCAAACTCGGCGCCTGTTAGCGCCTTACAGAAGGGGTGGAGGTTCTTCTACTGAGAGCAGCTCCAATTCGAGCAGGAAATGTTTTAAAAGAAAAGTTTACCAATAGCAAACACGAATAGCCAAGGGAAGTGCCGGCAAAGAGGTTTTTACCAGTTGTGTCTAGCCTTCAAGCTTTATAGTAGTTGCACTCGTTTGCTCATTGTTATTATTAACTTAGCGCCCTCTAGTAAGCGCACGGTCAAAATGTAATGATGGCGAATTTTACGAGTGACGCTTGGCGCCCTAAGAGCATGCTCTAAGTTGGCGCCCCCAATACCCGTAGCATGAGTACGGGTACTGGGGGTACGGGTTGCCTGCTGCCACTATGGCCACCCTGCTTTAACTACATTGTTTATTTCTCGCGCTTGTTTTCTGAGTCTGAATCTGAATCTGAGTGCACTCTGGCTGTACCCTACCAGTAATTTAACACGTTTTTTATCGTGTGTAACTGTCAATCGTCATAGTAATTTGACAACTGAACGTGATAGAAATGGGTAGTATATAAATATTTTTTATCACATCTATTCGAAGAGAGCTAGTTTGTTATCTGTTTACAAGGGCAAAATAGCGTTTAAACTCCTAGGGACCAAAATAGCTTTTTGATCTCTAGGAACGAAAGTGGCGTCCCTGGCGACTAAAAATGATTTAAATCTTGATATTTTTAGTAAAAGTTCCAATCATCAAAGATATCAATCATGAACATTTAATCAACAAGTCACAGAGCGTAAAGCGCGCGCTGCTCGACAAATTATAAAAAAAGTTGAAGAAAAAATACAAAAGGTCGAAATACATTTCACCTTCGTTCAATGAGTGCCTTTCTCGAGAAGTGAGATCAGAATGAAAGTATGGTATAAAATAAATGTGATGCAGTTTGGATACAGACATTTATCTACAAAATCCTGCTCTGGATAAAACAAACGCTATCGTTTTTAAAAACCATTTGCTCCCCTAGTAAGCAATCTACTGTTAACTTCGGCCCAACCCAGTGTTCCGCGACACTCATGCATTTTTTATCCTAGAAATCTTCTTTTAATGGGGTGAAAATATGGGTAGAGGTTTGTATGGGAAATCAATTGAACCACGCAGACTAAGTTTATTAAAAGGTAAGGGTCTGATGTTGCTCTGTGGTATCCACATAATTTTGAGTCCATGCTCGGTTACCTAGAATTAATGAAGATATAAAAATAAAAAAAGTTGAGGCAGAACAATACATTTATTGAAACAATTGAAAACAAAGTTAATTTTTAATATAAGAATGTAAATGTATAAAGCATAGTCTTATTATTTGTGATAAAATTACCAATATATTCTACCTAGGTACTAATTTATGAACGGAACAATAACAATTTATCATTAATTTTGTTATCTATATATATATATACTAGCAAACCCGGCGAACTCCGTTTCGCCACCAGATGGCTTCGTTTTATGTAACATTTCGTTTGGTGATTAAAAGAAGATTTTTTTTTTTAATTTTTCCTGAATTTTTTTTGCGAACGAATGCAAAACCGTGGAAATCGGTTCGTGCGTTCTAGAGTTATAGCGTCAGGAAGGAAAACCCGACTTATTTTTATATAGTAGATATATAACTCAAAGGTGACTGACTGATATAGTGATCTATCAACGCACAGCCCAAACCACTGGACGGATCGGGCTAAAATTTGACATGCAGGTAGATGTTATGACGAAGGCATCCGCTAAGAAAGGATTTTGAACAATTCTACCTCGAAGCGAAGCGAGGTCGGGCCACTAGTTCAGTATAAAATTCTCTTGTGCAGATGTAGGTATACTTCGTTATTTTGTATAAGTACTAAATCTACTTGCATGCATATGATATAAGTCCTCGGTACATACCTTTGAGTTATTAAAGGAGATTGCTCAGCTTCCATACATGTTTGGCCTAAAGACCAATAATCATAAAAAATTGTTTCCTAGATTCGAAATTATATATAAATTACTGTAGAAACGAATATTATTGACGGACACCCCTGAGAACTTCTATAAACCATATACATTGAACATATTAAAATAATAAAAAACAAAAAAGTTATATAGTAAACTAGGGAAAGCCAAGTACCGAAATTATGGATTAGATTCAGGTGCCTATATAGAGCATGTAGATTAACAGATAGTTGCCTGTTTTTAAAGTTAATGCATAAGAGTAACTTTTAAAATCAGGTGTCATTTCCGGTTATAATAAGGTACTCTGTGACAGAAACTGCGTGATGATTGTGAATGAGCCACAGATTAGACTCTCGTTTTTAAACTCTCGTTAACCAAAGAAAGCTAAGAGATTTAGGTTCTATAGCCATATATTCAGTAGCTTCATTATTTTTGTTACCTATGTTTTTAAGATAACCATATTTTAGATTTTTAGTGTATCACACCTTATAATTTTATTTATTTATTTATTTTAGTCAGGGAACGTAGGCCCATAGATAGATACCTTAAAGTCTAACATATATACAGATTATAATGTGTTTATGGAGGTCTTTGGCGAAAAATGTATGGCAATAGACTTTGTGATGTCGCCTACCATCTATAATAATTGTCTGAGCATATTTGCATCTAGTGAAAATGATAATATAGTGGTGGATATTAATACCAAGGTGTAATAAAAAAAAATATTTTATCGATCTTTACAAAATAGATTTCTTTTTATGTTATATAAACAACTTCGATCAGTCTTTGGCTGAATGTTACTACACCCATAGCCATTAAAAATGATTCGTATGTTTTCCAAACCGGTAAGATTAAAAGTCCTTTTTAAAGTAAATATATTATACAAAGGTGTCCGTTGAAATCTAATGACTGTAAATTAAATTATAAATTACGTCAAGAATTACCGTGTATGTCAATATTTTTTGTGCATTTAGGGCAATTTGAGCAATCTCCTTTGTATTTTACTGATTTATTTATACGACGCGGCGACGGTAACTAAACTAATCACAATCACCTTTAGGTACTTATTATACAATTTTTTTCATTGCACATTAAATGTCAAATTTTATTATACTTAATTACTTTACAATAATAAAATGTCACAAGTTCCGTTAAAGTTTATACTATAGGTGTATTACATTTATTATGTATCAAATTAGTTAAATCTTAAAATATTAACTTACAATAATTCATCTGACTAAAATAACTTACTACGTGATTCTAATTTAATTACCCAATAATGGTGTCTACACTGGCATCATTCTCTAAGCGTCAAATTAAATTTGAAATAGTGTATCCCTGTGTGTGATTCTGTATACAGAATGAAAAGGAAAACTGATATAAAATTTGGTTTTATGTTTAGAGAATCATGTCAGAATCGACACCAATGTGTTTCTATTTCAAATTATAACAATAACTTCATGTATCTATCATTAACATAAGTTAATACTTTAATTATTGCAGTTGCATTTTGAGCGGTCGAGTATATTTTATATACCAACAGCAACAGTACAAATAGGTACAAAAAATGCGAATTAAAAATACAATAATAAATGAGAATAATTTGTTTGTGTTTGCGTCCGATTTTGTATTTATCTCAGTTATCTATTATTATGAAATGCTCGGACGCAACGTAACATGATACAATTATAATAATTGTAGTGTTTTATTAGGTATTTGATAAATAATAATAAACCGATGAGTAGGGGATTCAGCGACATCTTAGCTCGCGTTTCTGAAATAAATGAACAATATTTTAGTAGGTACTCTGGTAGGTCCCGTGTGCAGTTATGTTGAAATGGCATCGTGCGCGTCTCCGGATACATCCGTAGGTACATGCGCACGCGCAGGATGTACCGCGCGGCGTGGTCTCACACCAGCCAATACGAGTACGAGTACCCCGCACGACGTACGGGAACAAAACCTCTCTCAGAAATCACCCGGGAGGGCCACCAAGTGGCCCCAGAGGTGGGGGGCAGTTCGCTGCCCTGAACGAGCTCATAATCTTGTACACAGCGCGAGGCCGACGGTCGCCGCCTTCTTCGGAAGGAGGTGGTTGCGAGGAAGAAACCTCTCCAAAAATCACCCTGGTGTGTTTCTCTACTGGCGTCCTGGGCATCCCGGGTGGCGGCAGCTGAGACTTCGTTGGAGGGGCGGAGGCGTCTGCTATGGTGAGGGCGGTTGTGACGTGAACTCCACATCACTCCGCCCGACCCGTTACCGGGGGCCGCCACCCTTGAGGTGGGGGCCGAGAGGACGACGACCTCATCAAAAGTAACTTTGACTTAAGCCAGGTAAGGTTCCCTCGCCCAGAAGAGGGAAAAAATAATGTAAATGGATGTAAGCGAATCTTGTTTAATTGACATGAACTCCCGCTGACACCGAGCGCTCTGGGGTAGCTGGGCGCCATGGTGAGAAATTGCTACTAGCGGCTTATGCGCTCCGGCTGGCCACCAGCACTGCGGAATTAACGGGGCCCGTAGTCCGAAATGTACTACCGCGGCGTGCGTGGGAGAAGGAGTTTGAGGAGTACTCCGTCTGAAATGCGGAGGGCTCGGTGAACGAGAGAGGAGCGACGACGACTTATGGGGGGACATAGCACATACCCCCTCTAAAGATAAATACAGTTAGACGGGGGAAAGGCAAAAGGAAGTGGGCGGAGCCCGCAACTAGCCGACGACGTCAATGTTCCTGCGATCGAGGAAGGATAAGCCTTAAGCTCCAGAATGTGGAAGAGAAGCTCGAAAAAATCTGGCACACCCTGATAATGGCTGAAGAACTGGAAACTTGATGGAGTTGATGATAATATTGAAACTAGGGTTCAAAAAGTGGTCAAGGAGATGATTGAACTCGCCAAGAAGAATGAGTCGAAGTATGACAAGATCATGAAGATCGTCGACATAAATCACCGACTGGAGGAGAAAGTGCTCAGTCTTGGAGATGAAGTGCGGACCTTGAATGAAGTCAGGTGAGTTACTACATGTGGAAGCCCACACCCACATTTCTAATATCGTTCAAAACCACGGATTTTTAGTGGAGGTTGTGAGGCAACAGTATTTTAACCAAGCGATGGTTTATATCTTTGTTCTGTTTTTTTTTTTTAATATATTATAGTTCCGCACATCGTCTACAAAAACGCTAAAAAGTCTCATTGTCATCATATCAGCGGTGCGACGCTCACTGCTGATCGTCGATCGATTCAGTCCTGGAAAAGGCACGACGCCTCCCGCGTCCACCGCCAGTACCGTGACGAGGGTATCCGCGGATAGTACCCTGCTCCTTTCATTCAGCTTAAGAGCTCGGTGAAACGAGGGAGTCCCCTACACAGTAAAAACCGGACAATAGTCCTGCACCGATCACCCAGCACGCACTCTGAGGAGAGGGGTCACCAGAATGCGCGTCGAGAGTTTGAGAGTGTGTTCGCGGCACAAGAGACTGGGCCTGGAGTCCCCCAAGCCTACTAATTAATAGGATGGCGTGTCAGCTACCTCGTTGAGGTGAGGTCAGGTTAGAGTCCGCCGCCGCTGCGCTCGACGGTGATCTTCTTCTTCAGCTGTTCGCGCTCGTGGTGCTCTTCCTCCATCTCCGCCATACGCGCGAACCGCGAGTACGCCACGTGGCCGGACTTTATGGCCGACATCATCTGCACACGACACAGTATAACAATACAATACACTGCGAACGGTGTAAACTCAGTACCGGCCGTGAAGTTAGCTCGAGTCCACCTGATTATATCATGCACTCGCGACTCGCGACTGGCTTCACGACCGCCATAAAGTTTGAGTAGTACGTTATAAACTCCCTTATTAATAAACGAAGAATAAGCTTGGATAAGTTTCTCCATATTTTGTCTCCGAATAGACCAGGGTCGATAATTTTTGAGACCAAAAAAAATTATAGTAGGATGAAACCCATTGGAAAAGGTAGAGAATATAACAAAAATGAAAGGAAAAATAAATTATATCTGAGGTCGGGAAGGGGGAGAGGGTGAGTTTTTAAGGGTAAAAAATGGTTAATCTCGATTTTCAAAGTTAATCAAAGAAATTACTATATATTTGGGACATACAAAGGTAAGTTTTCACTAAATTTCGGAAAAAATTTAAAAAACCAAAAACTCGGTTATTCCAATTTTTCACATAAAATTTGAGGTTATGTGAAAAAAGTGTTGATACAAAAGTTGTAGATCTTTTTATTACCTACAACTTTGCCATTTAATTTTTTTTCATAGGACTTGCAGTTTTACCGGAAATCGAGATTAACCGTTTTTTACCCTTAAAAACTCACCCCCTCCCCCTTCACGACCTCAGATCGCCCGTAATTTATTTTTCATTTCATTTTTGTTATATTCTCTACCTTTTCCAATGAGTTTCATCCTACTATATTTTTTTTTCACTTATTACCATTTTTAAAATTATCGGCCCTGGTCTAGAATGTCAAATGGCATTTGAGTGACACGAACAAAACACGGCGTAACTAGTCTAAGCTTATTCCTCGTTTATTAATAAGGGGGTATGTGTTTGCAGTTAGTATACAGCGTCTATCGTATTCAAAAGATACATGTCTAATTCTGGCTAAATTACGTTATTTCGAAAAAAGAAAAAAAGAAAAACTGAATGTTGCATAACACAATATGACTTTACAAACACGGCATAGGACATCAGTTTTGAAATAAACGAAAACTACATAGGTAACCATAATTATAAATTCTGTAAATTGACAGAGTTGGTAACTTTCCTCTGTATTGGGATTGGAACAAATTCTAGTTAATAAGTATTACAAATCTAAAATGGGTACATAAAAACCATGACATGTCGACATTAATATCACACCACATATAAAGCGAGTGTAAGCCATGCAAAGCCATGTGAAAATTAATGCATGAAACTAACACAACAATCTGAGTTGAAGATATTTCAAATTGATATGCTTCATAAATGTTCAATGCGTGCAAATTACAGTTAATATTTTTTTCCGGGCTCCACGAGGCAACGCGTGACAATCTGATAGAAGAGTCTGTTGGCTTATGATGGCTATTACAAATAACTACCATTAGTAATGTTATACATGCAATGATTATCATTAATCTCCAGTTGTCCGTCAACCAAACTTCTACTACAGTCCATGGTCCTAGTATTAGCGAAGACCTATGTCAACGCTACAGTAAAATTGTCGCAAAACTGATGGAATATCATATTGTAGAAAAGAGTAATAATATAGATAGGTAGATAGGTATTAATGTTAGTGAAACAAACTCAAATACTGAATTGTTCTTATCAACGAAGATGGCCCTCCTTGGACTACGCAGTGTTTGGTTTCTGTTGCACGGCCAAAACTCAGAGTTGCAAGGCGAAGAAGATTTAATAAGGTGGGTTAAAATCATGCATTAACCTGGGAGAAAAACAATATCGTTGATCGGATTAAAAATAACGTTCGTTACATTCAGGTAAGTAAAGCTTCATCAAAAGAACATGAATAAGAACACCAATTTCTTTTTAAGATCTGAAATAATAGGACTGTTTAGTTTATCGACCTGCAGGTACTCGTCGAGCTCCACCTGGCCGTTCATGTTGGTGTCGATCTCCTTCAGGATCTCGTGCAGCTGCTCGCCCGTCACCTCCTCGCCGTAGTTCTGCGGACATTACGCCCCGTACCCCAATCACCATACAGACATACCGACACACGACCCCAGGACTCGTTCAGAGACCCAAGCACGAGTTTTGACAGCTCCGTTATCATATCGCACAGTCAAAGTTTGTAGGAAAACTATGCGGCGCCCCTCCCGGGCGTAACAACATATAAGTTCCTTCCATAAAAAAATTGACCGAGACGATACAATTACGGAGCTGTAAAAATAATGCTTATTAGGTAGGCCTCAGGTAACCCACATAAACGTTAAACTCGTCTTTCTATTCTATTACCTACATAACACATAACAAATATACTCTAATACATATATTCTAATAGCCACAGCAGTAACTCGAGCACGAACAACAATTAAAAACTATTTATATCGCCATGATCAGTTTTTACGGAAACTAAGCAGCTCCCCTACAGGAGAACAAACTAGACCCTTTCATAGAAAAGCTGACGAATTTAATACGAATACTTTCTCGCTCGATGTTCATGCTTGGGTTATAGCAGTGGTTCTCAAACTTTTTAAATGACGGAACCCTTTTGGGAAGCAAAATACTTGATGGAACCCTACAATAAAACAATTATTTTTATAAGTGTATTCTATATTAATCAGCATAATAAAAGTACAATGTATCCGTTACTAATTATTATTTACTTCACCACTTGGTAAGGACAATAATAGAAAACATTAAAAAAGAAAAAATCTAACTAGTGGGAGGTATGAAACTGTTTTTTATTTTTCATCAATTGCTTGATATCAGGTTTGATGGAAGAAAGTTGGAGTCTCATATCAGCTTCGGCGTCCAGTCTATTGCGATATTTTGTTTTCGTGGCTGCGTAGGTAGAGAATCCTGTTTCGCACAAATATGTAGTTGGGAACGGGAGAAGAATATCCAGAGCCATTTGGCCAAGCATTGCATATTCATCTTGGATTCTGCACCAAAAATCATTAAGAGGCGTCGTTTTGAACAATGACTCCATACTTGTGTCTGATGACATTTCTAAAAGAGATTCATATATCTCATTTGACATGTTTTCAGGCTTTTCCAAGTTGGGTAAAAAAGGATTATGAATCCAGGAGTTCACTTTAATTTTTGTATTGTGTTCTTCGGGAAAATACTTTTCAAAAGATGCGCGCATCGAACTGAGATATTGGACCAATTCTTCAAACACATTATCTTCAAACATTTCTGAGTCGTTTTCGCTAACAAACTCAGTGAGTAACGTAAAACTTTCTATTTCTTTCTTACCAATGCAAATGATCCAAAAATCTAATTTTCTTTTAAAAGTAGTTATTTTATTATAGGCCTGAAACACTGTTGTCTGTTTACCTTGCAATGATAAATTTAATTCGTTAAGTTTTTGAAAGATATCCGCCATAAAAGACAATCGGAACAACCAAGTTTTATCATACAAACGGTCCTTCAAATTAAAAGAAGTATCTGCTGAAAGAAACATTTGTAACTCGGCTCTAAGTTCAAATAGCCTTGTTAAAGTTTTTCCCCGAGACAGCCATCGCACTTCTGTATGGAGCAGCAGTGTTTTATGTTTGCTGCCATAATCTTCACACAATAATGAGAACAATCGGGATTGTAGTGGTCGTGATTTGATAAAATTAATTATTTTTACCGCTTCATCCATAACTAATTTTAGATTAGACGGCATTTGCTTCATCGCAAGTGCTTGTCTATGCAGAATACAATGACTGGAACTACAATTAGGCGCTTTATTTTTCATTCGTGACACTGCTCCTGCTGTTTTACCTGTCATCGCCTTGGCCCCATCTGTACAAATGTCAATGCAATTGTTCCAACTGAGATTATGTTCTTCAAAAAATATATTTATTTTATTAAAAATTTCTTCCCCGGTAGTGTTTGTAAGCAGCGATGAACACATAAGCATGTCTTCTTCAAAAGAACTTTTATATGGATATCTCACAATAACCAGCAGGATAGCCAAACCAGCGACATCAGTCGACTCGTCCATTTGCAAAGCGAATCGTGTATTTTGTAGACGTGTAACTAGTTCTTGTTTGACGTAGCTTGCCAGATCATGGATTCGTCGTGAAACAGTATCGTTTGATAGCGGAACAGTAGAAAGATGCTTTGCAGATTTTTCATCAAGCATACATTTTGTTATGTCTAATACACATGGTTTTATTAATTTCTCAGCGATAGTGTGCGCTTCACCTGCTTGTGCAATGCGATAGCTAACTAAGTATGATGCCTCCGTGGCCTTTTCGTTGGTAGTTTGTGTTACATGCATCATATTTTTTTGACTTTCTAATAACTGATCTTTTTTGCGAACAAAAAATTCTTTATTCTTGTCTTTAGTCTCGGGGTGTACGGTTTCTAAATGTTGACGCAATTTGGCAGGTGCCATGGAACTATTAGGAAGCAGTTTACTACAGAGCATGCAGAGAGGTGAGCCGTTGGAATCAACAAATCCGAAACTGATATAAGATTCATCATACTTCCTTTTTTTCGTCTTTGAAACCGTCGAGCTTGACGTCGTGGCACTCGTGGCATCATCTTCTGGATCGGTGATTGCTAAATTCTCCGCGCGCATTGCTTTTGAACATTCAGCGTCATTAGAAGATGTTGTTGGAACACGTTTAACACCTTTAAGCCAACGTTCCATTCTTCTTTATTTATAATGTTACAAGTCAGGATAGTGGGGTTTAAATAATGCACAATCGTTACTGCGTATAAGAGACTAAATTTAGAACCTACAGGGAAGAAATGTATAAAACTGAGACAACAGAATACAGCAGGCAGTAAAACAATGAACACCAGTTTCTCGCTAGCGAGCTTGTAAGTAGGTAGTAACTTATCGCTCCGAACGCTAATCATCAACTGACGACGCCAACGCGCGATCGCCGCTTTTATACTTAGTCCTAGACTCGATCTCAAATATTCTCGAAAATACTCGAGTCGGCACCTTTGATAAACAAAAAGCAAAAATAAAAACAGAAATTTAAAAATAGCGTTGTAAACAATATCGACTTTATCCTTTGAAGTTAGAGACGAAAGTCGCTAGTTGACAACTATAGCGTCTAATTCAGAGGCGGCTTTTATCAAAGAGACTGAGCGCTTACAAGTATACTACCCGCTCGTTTTAAGTTTGCCGCTGGCGATAGGTATGAGTGTATGACGTTCGAAATTTTTTATTTAATTGTAACAATAAAAATTGTGTACGTTAGATATTTGGGTAAAACTATGACACATTATAAGTTTTGTTGTCACGTGGGGGAGGGTACGCGCATTCCACAGACCGGCAAACTTAGAGCGAACGCGTTGTACAAGTATAAAATTGTTGAGACCAAACTTATGAGATATTGTACCAGCTAATGTAACACAAGCTTATACAAATACAAATAAATAAATAAATAACATTCATAGCGTTTTGTCTCCGCGCGGCCGCGGAGTCCGCACAGCCGCGGAGCGACCAGAGAGAGGTGTTTTGATTTTTTTATTTCTAAATTCTTGCGGAACCCCGACAGAGGTATCACGGAACCCTAGGGTTCCGCGGAACACACTTAGAGTATAGCTGGGTTATAGAATACAGGAACACAGAAAGAGAAAATACCTCTTAAATTGTATGCTAATATTATACCCTTTTATTAAAACAAAAGCGATATTATATCAGGAAGCGAGACTAAACTTATTTTTAAGTACTTTTGGCTATAATCATGGAATATTGTGTGGGTGCAATGAAAGTATGTAACACAGCAGCGAGCGTATCCCAGGACGATGACAACACAGATCCATCGTGGATTTGTAGCCGCTACCTGCAAGTAATCCTGGAGTTCCATCTGTCCGTGGTATTGGAGGTCAATCTCCGACAATATGGAACTTATTTCCGCTTCGCTGGGCTTCACGCCCATGCTCTAAAACATTTAGCAATTGATTAAAGTAGGTGCTGCAATGTACCACAAGTCGAATTTTTAGCGCCCATTTGGGGAAAGAACAAAAATTGTGATCCGTCCTGCTGAGAGTGAGGTTGTCAGAATGCCACGGGGTAGGTATTGAGGGAAGAGCACACTTTTATGGGCGGTGAAATTGAACGGTTCTTAATAAATATGTCTCGTCGTCGGTGAGAATTGAGATGTAATATTAAGAGGCGAATGAGATATATTGTATAACAAAAAAATCCATATCTAACTGTCGGGGAGAGAATAGGAAAGGCTGAATTAGGGCTGCAAATTTTGCACCTTGGACTTTAAATTATACGAGTGACGAGGAGCGCGTGTTTGTCCTGGGATAAAAGAAAATGTTTAAATGTTGTCTTTCTCTATTAAGTACTCATATTAAAAGAGCAAAAGTGTGTCTGTCTGTTTGTTATCTCATCAAGCTTAAACTGCTGAACCGATTTAGATAGAATTTGGTAATATAGTTAAGGTTTCGGGAAAGGGGATAAGAAAGATTTTATAAGGAGCAATTAAATTGATCCATTGACTATGATGACATACGTGATTTGATGGATGAGTAGACCTTTCGTCTCAGTGCTGCCACCTGGAGTTACGGGTATCTCCTGTATAATAATTGACTTACCTTCAGACTCCTCCTGATGTCGTTGATGGAGACGAACCCCTTGCGGTCCTTGTCGATGATCTGGAACCGCTTGATGTAGGTTTGTATCTCGTCCTTGCTGAGGTTGATGGGGATCTTGTCGCGGCTGGCCCGATTCACCATCTGCCCCATCTCGTTCGCCAGGAATTCGCTCGCCATCTTCATTTGTTTCTGTAATTTCATTTGTGTATGTTGTAATATTGTTCATTTGTATTAGAATCTTCGACGATGACGTCGTCATGTAGCGTTTATTAAATGTTTATACCACGGACGGTGAGTTGTGAGGAGTTATTTCTTTTTCTTCGAATTACATTTCTGCACTAGATATTTCCGCGTCTTGACTTTACCACTGCTTAACATCAGACATGGCTAAGTTTTTGCTAAATTAGAAGTAAGTAAATGGGTCGTAGAACGGAACTGATCTCGCGGGGCTCACACCTGGCGCTCCCCCGCGCTCCAGGAGAGCTCCTCCCCCATGAGGTCTATGATGGCAGGCAGGGCTTCGGCCGCGGCCTGCACGTTGAGGGGGGCGGGGGGGGGGGGGGGGGACACTATGTAATAGTGGAGCGGCTATGTGTCGTACGGGCGCGGGGCTCACACCTGGCGCTCCCCCGCGCTCCAGGAGAGCTCCTCCCCCATGAGGTCTATGATGGCAGGCAGGGCCTCGGCCGCGGCCTGCACGTTGAGGGGGGCGGGGGGGGGGGGGGGGACACTATGTAATAGTGGAGCGGCTATGTGTCGTACGGGCGCGGGGCTCACACCTGGCGCTCCCCCGCGCTCCAGGAGAGCTCCTCCCCCATGAGGTCTATGATGGCAGGCAGGGCCTCGGCCGCGGCCTGCACGTTGAGGGGGGCGGGGGGGGGACACTATGTAATAGTGGAGCGGCTATGTGTCGTACGGGCGCGGGGCTCACACCTGGCGCTCCCCCGCGCTCCAGGAGAGCTCCTCCCCCATGAGGTCTATGATGGCAGGCAGGGCCTCGGCCGCGGCCTGCACGTTGAGGGGGGCGGGGGGGGGGGGGGGGGACACTATGTAATAGTGGAGCGGCTATGTGTCGTACGGGCGCGGGGCTCACACCTGGCGCTCCCCCGCGCTCCAGGAGAGCTCCTCCCCCATGAGGTCTATGATGGCAGGCAGGGCCTCGGCCGCGGCCTGCACGTTGAGGGGGGCGGGGGGGGGGGGGGGGGACACTATGTAATAGTGGAGCGGCTATGTGTCGTACGGGCGCGGGGCTCACACCTGGCGCTCCCCCGCGCTCCAGGAGAGCTCCTCCCCCATGAGGTCTATGATGGCAGGCAGGGCCTCGGCCGCGGCCTGCACGTTGAGGAAGGCGAGGCGCAGTCGTCGCGCCACCATGTCCACGGCAGTACACGCGTACTCACGCACGCCGTACCTGCGACGTAAATACATTAACTTTATTCAGTGTTACGGGCTCATGAGCTTCTATATCTTTAGATTTTTTTTTTCTAGACTACTCGTTGAAATAATTAAGTGATGATTTGTATAATGTTCACGTTTTATATTTATAAATAATATAAATATTTCAATTAAACAGTGCTTACTTTGGGGCTTGGGATACTAGGATAACGGATAGAATACATATACTGTACATATATGAATATATTTATATAGAAATACATACATATAAAACATCTACGACTGGAGTACAAATACTCGTTTCATCACACAAACATCTCATCATCACATTTTTAAACTTAGTGGAAAATTTTACATTTGCACAGTCCACGGAAAACATTTTATGACAGTAATAATAAATTTTACTAAGACAGCGCCATTAAGTCTCTCTAGGTGAATCTAGATGGCTTGCAACACCTTGAGAGATTTCGGTAATTAGAAACTAGATGGCGTGAGGTTTCGGCACTTTGAGACTAGATGGCGTTTCCGACGAATTATATGTTGATGTTGGGGGGAAAATGGTATTTAAGAACACTTTTTATTGGCTTGCGAGCAGTAAACATTTCAGATAATCGAATGACTGTCTTTCATTTGGGCAACCATTTTACAAATATCCTAGTTCAATAAATCACCTAATCTCAGCGTCAATGTACGGGAACTCGGGGTGGATCTTCTTGCCAATGATGGGCCACCGCTTGCCGGTCATGGCGGCCATCTTGGCCACCGCGAACGCGCGGTCCCCATACGACTTGGCTAAGTGCTGCGCTACCTGGAAACGGACGTTTCATCGTTAACGTTTAACAGGTGTTGCACAGAATTGTTGGCAATCGAATAATAGGTATTAGGGTGTAAAATTACACAAATCGCTCTCTTAAAATGATATTGCCCAAATCTAAAACAATATACCTAGTTCGGTTTCACAGAGTTGTAAAGAATGCTCTTTAAGGTCAATGTATAATAAGCAAAGAATTATTTTACACGAATTCTATTATGTTTCATTGTAAGAGTGCATTGAGAGAAGCGCTATATGCATGATATTATGAGAATTTGATTCGTTAAGTAATTTTTAGGGTTATTTTTTTTTTTGTATTTCTGCAACTTGGCGATCATTGTTGACACAATAAGCCAATCAGTTGGTATAAAATTTCGACTATGTCAATACCAGCACAAGGAACTCTTTATTCGTTCCTTAATCAAATCTCGCAAACAGCGTAGGGACATCATGCCGCTTTAATCGGTTGTGTGAGACACTTCCTGCACCCTGTAGTTTAGAGGCCAGTTCATTGACGTGAGTTGATATTCGAGTTTGAGAGGCTTTACTATGTTTAGCAATCTCCTGTTTGACTGTATTGATGTTTAGGTCCTCATGAATATATTCGTTGCTCACGTACATGGCTCTCAAGGTTTTGCTCTGGAATCTTTCTAGAATCTCGATATTGCTATTACTAGTGGACCGCCACAGTTGAATACCATATGTCCATATTGGTTTCAGGATGATATATTGACAGATGAGATTTCCGACCTATAAGCCAGTACATCGATCTTACTTTTGTGTCCAGTTGCTTACGCTTAGTCCAGATATGCTTTCTCCAATTCAATCTTCGATCAAGATGCATACCGAGATATTTGGCATCCTCAGCTTGGGGAATATTCTCATTGTAGAGTTTTATAGGAGGGCAAGTTGGTTTTCTGAGAGTGAAGGTAACATGCGCAGATTTGCTTTGGTTTGCTTTAATGCGCCATTTGTGTAGCTCAATAGATCGAGAATGTACTTCACACCGGCCCACCGATTGCAGCTTTATAAGGCACAGGTTTGGCCTCACATGGAGTACTGCTCTCATCTTTAGGCGGGGGCACCCCAGTACCAGCTTCTCCCTTTGGATCGCATCCAGCGCCGAGCGGCTCGAATCGTCGACGACCAGGACCTTTCCGATCAGCTTGATCCTTTGGCTTTACGTAGGGATGTAGCTTCGCTCTGCATCTTCTATCGCATTTATCACGGGGAGTGTTCTGAGGAATTGTTCGGATTAATTCCAGCTGCTGCATTTCGCCATCGTACATCGCGACAAAAATTTCCCCATCATCTTGATGCGTGGCTATCCACAACCGTGCGTTTTTGTCGAAATTTTTTACCACGTACGACAAAACTGTGGAATATGTTGTCGCCAGCAGTGTTTCCGGACCAATACGACCCAAGAACCTTCAAAAAAGAGCGTACTCCTTCCTTAAAGGCCGGCATCGCATTTGTGATACTCCTGGTGTTGCAAGTGTCCATGGGCGACGGTGATTACTTACCATCAGGTGAGCCGTCTGCTCGTATGCCCCCTATAACATAAAAAGCCATTCTTCAATCTTGCAGACGTGAGCTTGTAGTTTAGCTGATGCTATTTCTGATTTTCATGAACAGAGAGCACGGCTGTGTCATCGGCGTATGTGGCTGTTATGGTATCGTCTTGCGTCGGCAAGTCTGCAGTATACAGGAGGTACAGTATGGGGCCCAAAGTACTTCCCTGTGGCACTCCTGAAAGAATCTCTTTTAATTGAGGTCTCATTTTTAAATTTTATCTCAAAACATCTTTTGTCGAGATACGATTTCAATATTGGGAAAAGTGAATGAGGAAGCAGCTGTTTGATTTTGAATAGAAGTCCGTCATGCCACACTCTGTCAAAGGCCTGACTGATGTCCAGGAACACAGCAGAACAGAACTGTTTATATTCCAGGGTGCGACTTATAGTATCCGTTATGCGGTGGATTTGTTCAATGGTTTCATGCCCTCCTCGGAATCCAAATTGGTGAAGTGGCACCACTGCCGGTAAATAGAAGCGCATCCTGTTCAAGGGATTTTATTGAATGCGCTTTGACACACTTGTAAGAATAGGAATATTAATTTCACAGTCTTGATTAATTTTGTTAAAATTATGCGACTTAAGCCGCAATAATTATCTTAAGTTTCTGTTAAACGGATCAAAGAGACAAACGAGTTATTTTGATTGCGAAGACCTCACCTCCATTTCCAGTCCGAAATCTTGCACCAGTCTAATATACATAGTCGGAGTCCACCCGTGAGCGCCCTCTATCAAGAACCCGTCCGTTTGGCAATCTTTGTACAACGGCTTGAGGTCGGCACCTGAAACATTACGGGGGTGAAACAAATCGAGACAAATATATACTTCCTTTCAAACGTTATGACGACTACGAGCATTTGTACGGTAGTTATGGATGTTTATACATATTTTTGGGTAAAATAAGTATACTTTTATATGTATCTGTATATGTATTCTATCCGTTTTTCTAGCATCGCATAACACAAGCCTCACAGTGCGAGTGCGCACTCTGGGGCTAGGCTAATCGGTAGGAGTGTGGGAAATATAATAATATTTTTACTCTGTATGGCTCGATCCATCGTCTCGGCGGCCATGGCGCGGTAGGTGGTCCACTTGCCGCCCGCCACGGTGACGAGGCCGGAGCGCGACACGTGCACCACGTGGTTGCGCGCGAGGGCCTGCGTGTCCCCCTCGCCCTTGTTGGGGTCCGACACCAGCGGCCGGATGCGTCGCCGCGCCGGACTATACGTACTCTGTATGGCTCGGTCCATCGTCTCGGCGGCCATGGCGCGGTAGGTGGTCCACTTGCCGCCCGCCACGGTGACGAGGCCGGAGCGCGACACGTGCACCACGTGGTTGCGCGCGAGGGCCTGCGTGTCCCCCTCGCCCTTGTTGGGGTCCGACACCAGAGGCCGGATGCCCGACCACGCCGACATCACGTCGCCGCGACGGACTATAATACGATATCATATATTTCGTTAACCCTCATTTATACATTTGCTGATACGAATTAAAAAATCTCAGGGCTAACCAGGATCCTGCCACATTGTGTCACCCCAGCGCTGTTATTGTGGCAAGCCCTATTTAGTGAGACAAAAAAAAAACATGTAAACTTTAAGTTATTCTACCGCTCAATGAACTATGACATCACTTTTTAAAATAAGTCTTTAAGGCAAACTTCGTTATAAAAAAAAAACAAATTTTAAGTTTAAATAAAAATTAAGTATTATATGCAAACAATAATAAGATATATCGCTAAGTCACAATTTGGTTTTAGAGCTCACAAGTCGACCAGCGATGCTGTTCATGAGCTAACGGATTATATAGTCTCTAAACTAGATAAGAAAAAAAATGTTATTGCAGTATTCTGGACCTAACGAAGGCTTTTGACACAGTCTCTGCACCACTATTGTTGAGTAAGCTTGATAAAATGGGTATTCGAAAACTGGGTACTTGATAAAATGGGTCTACGCAACTAAGATTGTTCCAAGCTTACTTGACAAATAGGCTTCAAAGAGTGAGGATCGGAGAATATACCAGTACAGATATACCCATAGCTTATGGAGTACCCCAGGGAAGCGTAATAGGACCAACGCTCTTTCTCGCTTTTATCAATGACTTGTGTAATATGCAGTAAACCAATGGCAAAATTATCACCTACGCCGACGACACTGTATTAATTTTTCATGGTGATTCCTGGCAACAGGCGTATGAATTTGCACAACATGGTTTTGATAAGGTCTATTCCTGTCTCACTAACAACGCTCTAACACTAAATGTAGAAAAAACTAAGTATATTCCTTTCGCTATCCAAAATACAGGTTCGTCTGTACATGAACACCACTATATAGTAGCACACTCTTGTCTAACTGGCCAGGTGTGCTCATGTACTCCAATTACTGGAACATCTAACATTAAGTACTTAGGAGTCATAATTGACAAAAACTTAAGTTTTGACAACCACATCGATCTGCTGTCAGCCAGGACCCGTAAATTAATTTTTATTGAAGTTATACTTCTTTAGGCGCGTTATGAAAAAATGATGAGAGTGAAATTTTAAGATGCGCTTTAGCGACCAACTTCATGCGTTACTTTTGTGTTTACCGCACATTAAGAAAATCTACCAACAAAATAGAAATAGAATCTCTATTTAGTGGGTGCTAACGACTGCATTGTGAAGGCCTATCAAAAGTATTTATTAATCTGGAACAACGGAACCAAAGCGCGATTCAGGAGACTACAGCGCCATCTCTTAACCATTGGTGTAGTAGAATCAAAAACCACATCTTTATTTTTTGTAATAAAGTAACAGTTATAGGTACTCATATTTATAATATCAAAAGTATTTATTAATCTGGAACAACGGAACCAAAGCGCGATTCAGGAGACTACAGCGCCATCTCTTGACCATTGGTGTAGTAGAACCAAAAACCACATCTTTATTTTTGAAGTTATACTTCTTTAGGCGCGTTATGAAAAAATGTTGAGAGTGAAATTTTAAGTTGCGCGCGCATCACTGTAACACACAATTTTAACAGCATGAAGTAGGTCGCTTTAGCGACCAACTTCATGCTGTTACTTTTGTGTTTATCGCACATTAAGAAAATCTACCAACAAAATAGAAATAGAATCTCTATTTAGTGGGTGCTAACGACTGCATTGTGAAGGCCTATCAAAAGTATTTATTAATCTGGAATAACGGAACCAAAGCGCGATTCAGGAGACTACAGCGCCATCTCTTGACCATTGGTGTAGTAGAACCAAAAACCACATTTTTATTTTTTGTAATAAAGTAACAGTTATGGGTATTCATATTTATAATATCAAAAGTATTTATTAATCTGGAACAACGGAACCAAAGCGCGATTCAGGAGACTACAGCGCCATCTCTTGACCATTGGTGTAGTAGAACCAAAAACCACATCTTTATTTTTTGTAATAAAGTAACAGTTATAGGTATTCATATTTATAATATTTATCCACATGTTTCTAGTTTGTATATTCGGAATACGTGTTTGAGTTTCATACAAGTGCAAATCACATATGTTCTAATAAATTATATTCAGTAGTGATTTTAATTGAATATTTTGATTATTTATTTATTTTTTCAAATCAAAACTGAACTTTATTGACTGTGTCCTTTTCCAGACTTTTTATTAATTTATTGTAATTAATTATTTGCATGCAATTAAAAACTAATTTTAAACGATGCCAAAGAAGGATAACTTCTCACGCGCCTACATAAGTACACGCTGCCTTTTTTTTTGTAATAAAGTAACAGTTATAGTTATTCATTTTTATAATATTTATCCACATGCTTCTAGTTTGTATATTCGGAATACGTGTTTGAGTTTCATACAAGTGCAAATCACATATGTTCTAATAAATTATATTCAGTAGCGATTTTAATTGAATATTTTGATTATTTATTTATTTTTTCAAATTAAAACTGAACTTTATTGACTGTGTCCTTTTCCAGACTTTTTATTAATTTATTGTAATTAATTATTTGCATGCAATTAAAAACTAATTTTAAACGATGCCAAAGAAGGATAACTTCTCACGCGCCTACATAAGTACACGCACCCATTTTTTTTAAAAAATCTAAGACATATAGCCGATAAAAAAGTCATCAAAATGGTGTACTTAGCATTATGCCAATCGATAATAAGCTATTGTATCACTGTATGGGGAGGTGTGACAAAAACTAAAGTCTTAAAAGTCGAAAGATCCCAAAGAGCTATTTTAAAGGTTATATATCTTGTCCGATGTCCTTACTGTGAGGCAGCTCTTTGTCCTTAGCACTATTTTAAAACAACACTCACTAACCGAATTTGATCCTTCTCTGAACTCATCAAAGCGACTGAAGCACAAAGTCTGTATATCTAAAAACGTGTGGTTCACAAGATTTTCGAATAGATTTTTTGGTTTTCTTGATCAATATCTTTATAATAAAATTAATCAGAAGGTTAAAATTTACCCCTTGACAAAGTTTAAATGTAAGGAGGCCACTACTGCTTTTCTGAAGGGTCTTAGCTATGATGACACTGAAGAGCTTCTAGCTGTTCCTACATAAGAAACTCAGAATATTATTAAATTAAATACGAGTACACATCATAAACACACATTCACATACTTCCACATGCACGCACGCGCGCACGCACACACACGCACACACATCATAACACATACTCACAAGTTAATATTTATATTTATGTTAATTATGATGTAATAACTTAATACTAGCGTCATGCTTTTAATGATCATTTATATATATACCTTTATTTCAATCAGTCACTAATTTCATAAAATCAAAATACTTGAATTACATGTTCATTTTTAGATTAGATTAGATTTAAACTAGATGTTTAAATCCAAAGCAAAATGACTAGAAAACAGTTGAGTACAAAATGAGATTAAGGTACAAAACAAAGAAAGAAATTAACGCTCACCTTCGACGTCCGGGTTGAGGTAGTTCTTGACCTCGGTGAGGATGAAGAGGATCTCTTCCTCGGTGGGTCGCGGCGACGGCGTGACTTCACACGGCAGGTCCGTGGTGCCGGCGATGGTGCCCTTCAACCACGGCAGGAAGAATATCACGCGACCGTCCGACGTGGCCGGGTCCAGCAGACCCATGTGCTCCGGGCTGGGGACCGCAACGGTACAACAAATGACAAAAAACAATCTCACTAGTTCCACGATTGAACTGAAATATTGAAGTGAAACTTCTTTATCGGCGTTGGAAAAGGCACGGCTTTTGACAGCCAAGCCAGCTTAACCGAGCGAGTATAGCTGAGCGATACTCGCTCAGCGATACTAGCTCAGCGATACTCGCTCAGCTATACTCGCTCGGTTAAGCTGGCTTGGCTGTCAAAAGCCGTGCGCGTGCATTTTAACTCAGGACTGCCAATTCATTTCTAGTTTCTACTCGCTTATCGTTCATCGTCGGAGGTGGAACATGTGCCTTAGATTACTGAGCCGTGTAATCATAACAGTTTCATAGGCAGTAATTTGTATTCATGTCTATGATAATAAAATCCTTTTGTTTAAACTTTATCTAATTTAACTTTATTTAACCAATTTCTGAAAAGTTGCATGTAGATCGTTTTTCGAAAAATAAGGCCATAAAGAAGTTTCACTTCTTACGTGTGTACACTAGTACACGCACACATTTTTTTTTTTACGGAACCCCGGAAAATTATGTTATTTATCTGCAATCTTCTGTCAAGATAGCAAATAATAGTCTTGTTTCTCCCTCTCTTATATACTAACTACGCTTCTTCCTTTCTCTCTTACTATACGAGTACTAACTTTTTAATATTGCTGTGGATTCGTAATCTACGATTGATTCCTCAACAATGACTAGCCGATAGCCTTTCTAAAAAATAGGTTAAATTATAAAGGGCTCCGTAGCGTTCCTTTAGAAAACAATTAGGCAATGATTAATAGTAGACAGTAAGATAATGACGGTCGACCGCAGGGAGACAAATAATTATTTAGTTATGAATAGATACTTTAACAAAATATAATCGAACATGGGTTTGCAAACTATAATAATAATAATAATAATTTATTTTCCTTTACAACCTATAACCTTCTTAACAAAATGATCGATTGGAGTCTCCATTTAAACAAATATTGCCTGTGTTTGGAAGCTCCGCTCTTCCTGAACTAATAATGTGATTAATTTACAAAATGCAGTATGGTTACAGTGTAAATCCCATTAATAGGACTTAAAGCTACGCAAAAGTATTTGCAAAATTAGATATTCCTTCTGTTTTTATTGCCTAGAATTCAAATCTTACTACTATTAAAAATGTGAAAGTTTGTATGTTCGTTACTCAATCACGCAAAAACTACTTAAGGTATTTGGATGAAATTTGGTACGCATATAGTTTATGACCTAGATTGAGACATAGGATACTTTTTGTCCCGGAGAAATTACAGGTGACCATGGGATTTCTAAACTAAATTGACGCGGATGAATTCGCGGGCGGCCGCTAGTTAATAATTATAATTTTAAATTTGCATATGTCTGGCATTCAACTATGGGGAAGCGCAAGTAACTCAAACAACCAAATAATCCAGCGAATGCAAAACGTTATACTACGGTCCCTGTCTAATGCTCCGTGGCTAATAAGTAACAGCGAGATCCACAAGTATTTAGAAATGAACACCGTGAAGGATGAAATCCAAAACACCACAATGAAGTACCAAGTAAGGCTGGAAAGTCAATCGAACGAAATGGCAGGCAACTTAACAAGCCGCAGCTATTATAAACGCCTTAAGCGAAAAGATATCTTGTCTCTCTACGGACAACGAGCAAAGAGTAGATGCTCTCAATGGAGGGCATACTCGTATAAATAAATACACTACTTCCAACGCATTTGCTTAAAGCTTGGAGCTGATTGCAAATAAACATAAGAAAAACAAAAAAATGCATATAAAGTTAATTTGTCGTACATGGCAGAAAACAGAGGTTCGCTAGGGATAGACACGCGAGCTACCCTATAGATATCGATTACCTGTAAAACAGCCTACCTATAGTAGCTGGGCAGCACGATGTGCACGCCGGAGGAGGGGCTGCAGATGGGTTGGACGGCTTGGTCGTCCATGCGGCGGATGCTGTCGGTGAAGGGGCCCGTCGCGTTAATGATGCACTTCGCCTTCACGTCCCACTCCTTGCCCGTCAGCTCATCCTGGAGGTAGAGGAAATTTTCCTTCAATCTGTACAAGGTCACGCACAATAATCTATTTTAAGGACTAAGAGAAGAAACCATCACCCCTAACATAGATAGAACATCTTTACAAGATATAAAATCGTCGTCGTAAGTCGTTAGAGCTATTTTTAGGGCTTTGTATCGCAGAACTTTTAGTATCATAAAATGATTATTTAGCAGACATTCAACCGCGTCAAATTTTGTAATCCAGAATCAGCTTTATGCATAATAAAGCAGACATATCGCAGGAAGTGGTGCCGGCGATGGTGCCCTTCAACCACGGCAGGAAGAATATCACACACCCGTCCGACGTGGCCGGGTCCAGCAGACCCATGTGCTCCGGGCTGGGGACCGCAACGGTACAACAAATGAGAAAAAACAATCTCACTAGTTCGACGATTGAACTGATATATGTGAGCGCGATCGCGAGGTTCGAGCCGCGTCGTTTTGCTGTAAGAGAGCGGTATAGTGGAGTGTCACAGACCCGAAGCCGCGCGCCGGACAGCTTGCCGGCCGTCTTGTGCAGCTTCAGGCAGCTGACGTGGTTGGCGATGGTGGCGCCGTGCCGCGCCGCCGTCAGCGCGATGGCCAGGTTCATGCGCGCGTCGTCTTGCTGGCCTATGAGACAAACAATCCAGATATAATGCTCTTTTTAAAAAACGAAGCAGAAAGGCATGTAGCACTGTTGTATTAACACGCAACCAGGAAAGATGTACTGTCTTCTGGTGACTGGGGTAAGCCACTAGTAAATATGTACGTTGTAGTGGACCGGACCAAGTACAGAGCCCTGGGGTATTCCGGCTTTGCAGCTAAAAAGAGAAGATCCTTCGTCTCGGAGCTTGACATGAAAGATTCTGTCACTGAGATAAGATCCATCAGCAGGTAGTAGGTGTGTAGAAGGTACTTGTTAATTTTGCAAAGTAGTCCTTTATGGTAGGTCAAAGTCCGGTCAAAGGCTTGTTGTACGTCGAAGAAAGCTGCCGAACAGTATTCTTTCTTTTCCAGACACTACCTTATTAAGCACTGTGAACCTGCTCTATGCACGAATGGTGATTCCGGAAGCCAAATTGATGGTCGAGCATTACATGTCCCATATAATGGAAGGGAATAATCGTGCAAGGTTGATCCTTTCCCACAATTTTGACAATACAGATAAACTTTTAGTAAACCCATTCTTAATTATTTATCGTTTTCTCGTTGCATCCCCTTTTCAATCGTTTTAATTTCCTATACCTGCTGCACCAAATATGTATTCGCAATAACAACACAACAGGCGTCAGGGTTATAGGCCCATAATTTTATTTGATTTTATAAGATTTACTTGCATTTTGGTTTCCTAAAACTACACCATCTTTTTTTTTAATAATATTCCAAAAAAGCAAATAGTCAATATCACTTTGGATACTGCGATAAAAAAATAATTTTAGTTGTACGCTAATTTGGTTTTTCAAAATTAATTTTAATAAAATGGATAGTAAAAAAATGGTTGCCTGTAAAGTCGGTTTTACGGGCGAAGATTTTACGTGACAACGTCTTTTTCTCGGTAGAATATTTATTGATATGAATATAATTAAATTGCACAATAGGAACAAGGAATTGAATGAAAATAAGAATTGCACAAATTTTAACTATAGAAATATATTTTGTTTACTAAAACATTGTACATGTAAACTTAAACTTAACACGAGAGACTCATCGTAACGTTACCGAGCGTTACACTTTTTCATAAGTGACTCCCAGCCGCAACCTAATTTAAGACGTTGTCACGTCAAAAAAAAACCACTTGTACAGGGTAGTAAACCAGTACACTATAGACGTTGCAGTACGTCGAGTTAAGTTACTCGTACGTATGTAAGTAAGAGAAGTTCACTAATACTTTAAAGCTTTAATAACGTAAAGGTACAAGACATACGGCTAACGACTCTTTCCTTGTGAGTTTACTCGTCTGATGTTTGTGATGTACTAACTTTATAGGATTATAGTTAAGGATAACGTAAATATAAATGACTACCAAGCAGCGTATGTAGTTGAACGCTGCGTAATATGAATGATAAACAACATTACTGACGTTAAATAATTTGACTATAATTTTCAAATAGGATGAAATGTAACGTTGGTTTTAATTCTTACAATTTTAATGCAATCGGGGGACTTTAAAAGAACATCTTGTCATTTTAAATCATTTTTCTCAAGGAACCAGTGCCTTTAATGATTTTCTAGGCACATGGCATCTCCTCTCGGGGGGAGTTTCCTCTTTTTGCTGATATGGTTCAATGATATATTACTGATTGATAACAAACTAATATTAAAAAAAGGTAAAATGATATGATTGTGAGAATGCGCGGAGCGAATTGATTCATAATCGACCTTAATGTGCAATAAAATCCTGATGAGACTAATGTACGCGTGTGCACCTACACAAATCCAGTACAACTGCACAAGATTGATTCTGCGCCAGATTTGGGCTACCTCGCTCTCTTACCGTCGTAGTACACGATGCCGCCGCATAAGTTATCCGACTTCAACATGGGGAACAGTTCCAGAGTGTTCTTCTTCGACAAGTAGTAGGAGCTCTTCACGTTCCTGTCGCCCGCCACCAAATCGTACATCTTTATACCGAACCAATAGTACGGGACTTGCCACCACCTGAGGAGTAAACATTTTCTAAACAAATGTTCGGTTGTGTAATGGACGTTATCACAGCTGAGACGCAGGATTTTATTTCATAGTTCATAGTACTACTCTACTTATATGAAACCTTGGCAGTGACGATCTTATGATGAAGCATATAGAGTAAGCGGGCTATAACAATGAACTAATTTGCTCAGTCAGTCGGATTGGAGGGTACCTACGGTTAAATTTGCAGCCGGATCAAAATGTCTTCCGGAATATGGAGAATAGGGATACGGAAAGTGTGTGCGTGTATGTGTGTGTGCCTCACTTGTAGACGGGCAGCAGGATGGGCAGCGATCGCGTGAGATGGGGCGCCACCTCGAGCATGTTGGCGCGCTCGTGTGTGTGTGTGAGTGAGTGTGTGCGTGTGTGAGTGTGTGAGTGCCTCACTTGTAGACGGGCAGCATGATGGGCAGCGGTCGCGTGAGATGGGGCGCCACCTCGAGCATGTTGGCGCGCTCGTGTGTGTGTGTGTGAGTGAGTGTGTGAGTGCCTCACTTGTAGACGGGCAGCATGATGGGCAGCGGTCGCGTGAGATGGGGCGCCACCTCGAGCATGTTGGCGCGCTCGTGTGTGTGTGTGTGAGTGAGTGTGTGAGTGCCTCACTTGTAGACGGGCAGCATGATGGGCAGCGGTCGCGTGAGATGGGGCGCCACCTCGAGCATGTTGGCGCGCTCGTGTGTGTGTGTGAGTGAGTGTGTGCGTGTTTGAGTGCCTCACTTGTAGACGGGCAGCAGGATGGGCAGCGGTCGCGTGAGATGGGGCGCCACCTCGAGCATGTTGGCGCGCTCGTGTGTGTGTGTGAGTGAGTGTGTGCGTGTTTGAGTGCCTCACTTGTAGACGGGCAGCATGATGGGCAGCGGTCGCGTGAGATGGGGCGCCACCTCGAGCATGTTGGCGCGCTCGTGTGTGTGTGTGTGAGTGAGTGTGTGAGTGCCTCACTTGTAGACGGGCAGCAGGATGGGCAGCGGTCGCGTGAGATGGGGCGCCACCTCGAGCATGTTGGCGCGCTCGTGTGTGTGTGTGAGTGAGTGTGTGCGTGTGTGAGTGCCTCACTTGTAGACGGGCAGCAGGATGGGCAGCGGTCGCGTGAGATGGGGCGCCACCTCGAGCATGTTGGCGCGCTCGTGTGTGTGTGTGAGTGAGTGTGTGCGTGTGTGAGTGCCTCACTTGTAGACGGGCAGCAGGATGGGCAGCGGTCGCGTGAGATGGGGCGCCACCTCGAGTATGTTGGCGCGCTCGTGTGTGTGTGTGAGTGAGTGTGTGCGTGTGTGAGTGCCTCACTTGTAGACGGGCAGCAGGATGGGCAGCGGTCGCGTGAGATGGGGCGCCACCTCGAGCATGTTGGCGCGCTCGTGTGTGTGTGTGAGTGAGTGTGTGCGTGTGTGAGTGCCTCACTTGTAGACGGGCAGCAGGATGGGCAGCGGTCGCGTGAGATGGGGCGCCACCTCGAGCATGTTGGCGCGCTCGTGTGTGTGTGTGAGTGAGTGTGTGCGTGTGTGAGTGCCTCACTTGTAGACGGGCAGCAGGATGGGCAGCGGTCACGTGAGATGGGGCGCCACCTCGAGCATGTTGGCGCGCTCGTGTGTGTGTGTGAGTGAGTGTGTGCGTGTGTGAGTGCCTCACTTGTAGACGGGCAGCAGGATGGGCAGCGGTCGCGTGAGATGGGGCGCCACCTCGAGCATGTTGGCGCGCTCGTGTGTGTGTGTGAGTGAGTGTGTGCGTGTGTGAGTGCCTCACTTGTAGACGGGCAGCAGGATGGGCAGCGGTCGCGTGAGATGGGGCGCCACCTCGAGCATGTTGGCGCGCTCGTGCAGCGCCTCCTTCACCATTTTGTACTGTTCGTAGTCGAGCTGTAGGATGGCCTTCTGCAGGTAGCGCACGCCGCCATGGATGAGCTTGGTGCTGCGGCTGGAGGTGCCGCTCGCGAAGTCGTCGCCCTCCACCAGCGCCGTGCGCAGACCTGAATGCAGAACCAACATGACCCACGTTCATTATGTAAACAGCTTGTGAGACAGATTTTTGTTAAATGCGAGTGATTCTACAAAAAAATATTTTCAATCACAGCTGTATCATACTGTTTTTTGAATTTTACTTTATACTCCTTCATTCTTCGGCCCGACATTGATTGCTGGTTGCACGAAGGATAAGCACTGGTGAGGTGATGGAGTATGTTATATTCAGTGACGTATAAAAACATGAGCACTCCCAATCGCATAACGAGCATCAAATTTAATTAGTACAAAACCCGCTTCCAAAAAAAGGAACTTTAAATAAAGCAAGCAGGTCTATAATATAAATAAATAAATATTTTCAACATTCACACCAATTAGCCTAGCCCCAAAGTAAGCACTCTAAAGGCTTGTATTATGGGATACTAGGGTAATGGATAGAATACATATATTGTACATATATAAGTATATTTATATGAAATACATATTGAACATCCATGACTGGAGTACAAATGCTCGTATTCATCACACAAACATCTGCCCCCACCGGGATTCGAACCCGGTACCTCTTGCGTCGGCGACGCCATGAAACCCGCCGTATAAACCACTCGGCCACGGAGGTCGTCAAATATAATTAGGAATATAATTAGTCGGAACCCATTATCGTGAAAATTTTGTCGGGAGTGTTATTTGTTGAAGCTATTATTAAATATCATTAATCAGCAATACGTGAGAAAACGCCAGGATATGGTTTCATGAATCCGAATTTGATATCAGATCCAATTTTTGAAATTTCAGAGGTCCAGGGGTGGAGAGGAGGGAGTCAGGGCCGGGTTTCCTAAAAAACTAAAACAAACTACGTTTATTAATTTTTTTGTTATATTTTAAGATATCGTATACAGTAGAATCCGTTTATTATGACTCCACCTATATTGACCAACCGCCTATTATGACGTAATTACACAACGAAGTTTGGTTTTCATATAAAATTCACTGTAACAATGTCGGATATAATGACTTCGCTTACAGTGACATGTCGCTTATTATGACCCATTTTTAATCTATTTTGTGCGTTTATAGTGACCGACATGGTTCTTTACACCTACGGTAATGTTCGTTGATTCAAATTGAACATCAAGCATTGTTTTTAGTGATATGCTATGTAAAAAAATGTCATCTCAACGTCGTAAAGCATTTACGACTGAGGAAAAAGGTGCAATAATATGCTGATTAGAAAATGCAGAATCAAACTCATCTCACAATCTTTTTCACGAAAATGCTTTGTATGACGTCCGCTTAGTATGACGTGTTTGTCGATTCCTTTCGAAGTCATAATAAACGGATTGTACTGTACTATCAAACACACCGGATTCGCACGACATATTGTGAAGTGACTAATTTATAATGCGAAGAACATACCCCTGGTGGTGGCGTCGAGCGCGCAGCCCGCGCCGGTGGCCCCGCCGCCGATGATGAGCACGTCGTACTGGTGGCCGGCCTGCAGGTTGGCCACCTGCTCCGCGCGCGACGGCAGCGGCCGCTTCTTGCGCTCGCTCTTCGCAGACACAGTCGCTGTAGGTATCGGCGCCCGTTTGTACCACGCCTGAACGACAATATACCTACTCTTAGAATGCGATTTAAACTCGATAGCAGCTGCGAGGGCGCCGCTGGCCGATGTACTTGTTCGTACACATACATGGACGGTGGAAAGGTGTGAGCTCAGTTGGAATTGAAATCACCCAGTTCTTCAGAATTCCTTTGTGTTTTGTCGTGCTGGAAGCAGAAATGTTTGCTCAGAGGGAGTCAAGTAAGTGGACTGAGGACTTTGGCTGCTTTACATTTGGCTACATCTTTCATATCTTGGCGACGCCCTTGGGCAGCTGTGAAGTTAGTGCTAGTCGCGACGCAGTATACGCGACACGTAAATGTAGGAGGATGTAGATGCGCGGGTAAGGTTGCTAACCCGCGTGATATCACCGAACTAAAATCTGCGCATAGTTCCTTTCGCTGCTAACTTCACAACCGTAACTTACTGACTCCAAATCGGTCTCTGTCAGTACTACCGTCCATCCAAAACCATTTATGATACAACCAATATCGAATTCGAATAGTTTGCGAGTGCGAAATGTCACAGTCAAATATGTACTGATTTTTAGTTCCCGTTATGTCCGTTGTGGCGCTGCTATTCAAGTTTCCATACAAAATTTGACAATGATATTTCGATATTGGTTCGGCACGTATTTACAAATCTGGCGTCCCGGGCCATGGCCCTTTTGGCCCTAGGGCAAATACGCCCCTGCACTAGTATGCTCATAATTAATCATCTCAATCTTTTGAGCCATTTAGGAAGAATTCAGTTACGTATTTTACACCGGACTGAAGAAATAAAATATTAAATACTTATAACCGTAGCTATTTAAAGATATAATCAAAACTTTTCTCATTTTTACGTTTTGTATTATTTGTTACTGAAGTTAGTAATTGATTAAAAATTATCCTTTAATTCAAAAAAAAATAACTAATTCGTGAGTGTGCCCTCTTCAGAGAGAAAAAGTTATATCAAACCGGTCTGCAGTGTGTAATGCAACTACTCGAAGATAGATGGCGCTATGCTTTGATAAAATCATTGTTTGCTATTACAATTGCGATCCATGTATTTTTACAATTCTTTTCCCTCTGCAAAATAAGTATTAATATTTTTCTATGTTTGTATTTCATAAAAATAATTGAAGATATTTTTTATTCCGGAAAAATGTTACTGGGGGCTTCTCAAAAAACTAAGGTTAACACGGACAAAGTCGCGGGCGGCAGCTAGTAATACATAAATTAAAGTATAGTTATAAATAACTACACGATTAACTCTGTTCGTGATGAGGATAAAAATAGTAATTCCACATTTACTCACACAGGTGTATGGTATTGTGGCAGCATGATAACGTTCGCCCGAGCGGGGATTAGTTGTAATAATAGATAGGTCTAGCTTCATATTAACTCTGTGACGATAACGAAATAAATTAAGAGCAAAGTGGTTGTTCTTATGTTACGAAAAAAATGCTCGTCAAATTAATTATATTGTTCGAGAAATTGATATTAAGGAATTAATAAGAAGCGGGAAGAATTCGAAACAATGTAAGTAGTTCAAATTATATAGAGTATTTTTGTTGTCAGAACTAAGAATAAACTTCTTGTGGTATTTATATAACAACACTAACAGCAGTTTTATAGGTACTTACGTACCTATAATGTGTAATTAATTTATTTATTATGTTAAAAAAATGGTTGCCTGTAAAGTCGGTTTTACGGGCGAAGATTTTACGTGACAACGTCTTTTTCTCGGTAGAATATTTATTGATATGAATATAATTAAATTGCACAATAGGAACAAGGAATTGAATGAAAATAAGAATTGCACAAATTTTAACTATAGAAATATATTTTGTTTACTAAAACATTGTACATGTAAACTTAAACTTAACACGAGAGACTCATCGTAACGTTACCGAGCGTTACACTTTTTCATAAGTGACTTGTTAGTTTATATAAAAATAATATAATAGGTAGTACAACTAGCGCCATCTAGAATAAGGTCTGTGTCACATGTATGTCATTCCTTCTTATATGAAATAAAGTTCAGTTCGTTCCAAGTGAATCAAGTAACCACGTCGTTTTATTTAATAGGTTATGGGCCCAGACTATGGCCTTTAGTTTTTTAGCTAATTATCGCGAAAGTTTGAAATATCAAGTTGGTGTGATAATAAATCGCAGTAGGATAATAGATTAGCTAGCATAGGCGCTCAAAAAATTTTTTGGTTAGTTTGCGTTGGATGATTGCATGCAGCAAGCACAAAATGGCGGCAAATTACATTGTCAATGTACCAAAGTTGAGAGGAAGAGAAAATTACAGCGAATGGGTATTTGCAGCGGAGAACTTTTTAATCCTAGAAGGAATGATGAAATGCATCAAACCAGAGGAAGATGTTAGATTGTTTGCCGATGATGATGCAAAAACCAAAGCAAAGCTGATTCTCACGATTGACTCTTCATTGTATGTACACATTAGAAATGTATCGACCACCAAAGAATTATGGGAGAAGCTAAGAGCCTTATTTGATGATTCCGGATTCACACGGAGAATAAGCTTGCTACGAAATTTAATTTCTATACGACTCGAAAATTGTGGTTCTATGATTGCATATGTGACACAAATTATAGAAACAGGGCAAAAGTTGTGTAATACAGGATTCGAGTTAAACGACGAGTGGATTGGTTCATTGTTATTGGCAGGGCTACCTGAAAAATATGCCCCCATGATAATGGCCATCGAACATTCGGGTATTCAGATAACAACCGACGCCATTAAAAGCAAGCTACTCGACATGGAATCAGATAACGGAACGAACGGAATGAATGATGGATCGAATGGCGCTTTGGCCAGTGGCTATAGAGCTCGGCATCACTCATCGACGGCCAGACAGTCTATGGTCAACAAAAATCATGGCGGCCAACATGGAACGACATTATCAACAAAGACGAAGAAAGAAATCAAATGTTATCGATGCAAACAAATTGGTCATTATAAGTCACAATGTACTGCGGAAGCGTCGGATAACAAAAGAAATGAGCGTAACCAAACAAATGCGTTCAGTGCGGTCTTTCTAAGCGGTAACTTTAACAGCCAAGATTGGTATGTCGATTCTGGAGCTAGCGTACACTTGACGCCGAATAAACAATGGCTCAAGAATATTTCTTACAAAAAAAAAGGGCAGACTATTATTATAGCAGATAAAACGAAAGTGCCAATTGCGTGTTCCGGTGATATAAAGATTACTACCAAAGTTAATGATTGCAGCTTTGATGTGGACATAAAAGATGTGTTTTGTGTACCGGAATTGACGACTAACTTACTATCAGTTAGCCAATTAATTCGCAAAGGGAATAATGTTATATTCACTACAAACGCTTGTGAAATTTATAATCAAAATGGTACACTGGTTGCTTATGCATTATTAAATAATGGAGTTTACAAGCTACAACTTCAAAAAGGTATGTCTGCAGCAGCAATCATATCTGGTGAGCTCTGGCATCGTAGGCTGGGTCATGTAAACAGTGAATACCTGAATAAAATGCAGAATTCAGTTGATGGATTAACCTTGAAAGAGAAAGTTGACATTACAAAGTCTACGTGTACCATTTGCTGTGAAGGAAAACAAGCTAGATTGCCCTTTACTCATATTGGTAAGAGAAGTACAGAGGTGTTGAATATTATTCACACAGACATCTGTGGTCCTATGGAGTGTGATTCTATTGGAGGTTCTAAATATTTTATTTTGTTTGTTGATGATTTTAGTAGAATGACAGCTATTTATTTTCTAAAGAACAAGAATGATGCCTTGAGCAGATTTAAAGAATATAAAGTATTAGTAGAAAATCAGACAAACAAAAAGATAAGAATTATTAGAAGTGACAATGGAAAGGAATTTTGCAATACTGAGTTTAATGATTACTTAAAGAAAATGGGAATAGTTCATCAAACAACATGTCCATACACGCCTGAACAGAATGGACTATGTGAGCGGATGAACAGAACCTTAGTTGAAAAAGCGAGGTGCATGCTTTTTGATGCGCAGTTAAGTAAGTCATTCTGGGCTGAAGCTACAAACACAGCAGTGTATTTGCACAATCGCACAGGTTTGATCGTATTGCAAGGAAAAACACCTTACGAACTGTGGCATGATGCCAAGCCAGATATTAGCCATCTGAGAGTTTTTGGCAGTATGGTAATGGTACATATAGCTAAAGAAAGGAGACAAAAGTGGGATAAAAAATCCAAAAGCGGTATTTTAGTGGGCTATGCTGATGACAGCAAAGGTTATAGAATATATGATCCAGTTAAAAAAACGATAACAACTAGACGTGATGTGATAGTTATAGAGAAGGAAAACTCAACCATAGCAGTAATTGAAAAAGAGAATATAAATGAATCCATCAAAGATACAGACCAGCCAGCTTCAGTGGGGGATATAGAAGAAAAACTGTCAGATAGTCTCACATCCCATGAAAAGTCTACAAATGACTCTGATTCTGAGTATGTACCCAGTGAGTATGAAGATGTAGAAGAAAATTTACAGGAAGATGTGACAACTACAAGGGAAGCAAGAAAGAGAAGAGAACCTGATAGATTTGGTTTCAGTATCCAAAATGTATGTGTTCAAGAAACTGGAGATTTAACATTGAAGGAGGCGTTGACTGGACATGAAAAAGAACATTGGAGAAAAGCATTAAAAGAAGAACTTCAATGCTTTGAAGAGAATCAAGCTTGGGAGTTGGTGGATGCTCCAAATAGTGGTTGTGTGGTTCAGTGTAAATGGGTTCTAAAGAAAAAATGTGATGTGGATGGTAAAGTCTTATATCGTGCACGTTTAGTGGCAAAAGGCTTCACTCAGAGACATGGTGTGGACTACAATGAAACATTCTCCCCAGTGGTTAGATTTTCTACCTTAAGATTATTATTTGCGTTAACTGTACAATTAAATTTTAAGACTACACACTTAGATGTAAAAACAGCCTTTTTAAATGGACATCTTGAAGAAGATATTTTTATGCAAAAACCAGATTGTTTTGGTGATTTAAATGATGGCAAAGTCTTAAAGTTGAAAAAGGCTATTTATGGACTAAAACAATCTTCAAGAATGTGGTATAAAAAGGTTGAAGACTGTTTGTGTTATGAAAAATCTAAATATGAACCTTGTTTATTTATTAAGAGAAACAAGAAGTGTGTAACTGTAATTGCTTTGTACGTCGATGATTTTTTTATATTTTCAAGTGATTGTAATGAAGTAATAAACTTGAAAAAGTCTTTGGGTAACAATTTCAAGATTAAAGACTTAGGTACTATAAGACATTGTTTGGGTATGCGAGTTGTGAGCAATAAATATTTTGTAACATTAGACCAAGAGAGTTATATAGACCAGTTGTTAAATAAATTTAATATGTTGGATTGTCACACATCAGATACACCAATGGAATGTAAACTTAATCTCAGTATAGGTAACAAATGTGATATTAGCCTACCATATCAATGCCTGATAGGAAGTTTGATGTATTTGTCTGTTTTAACTCGCCCAGATATATCATACTCAGTTAGTTACATGAGCCAATTTAATAATTGTTATACTAAGGAACATTGGCTACATGCAAAAAGAATTTTAAGATATCTAAAAGGAACAAAACATTATGCTTTAAAATATGACTCAAAACTTCAATTATCAGGTGCTGCAATATCTTGGGAAAGCAAGAAACAAAAGGTTGTTGCACTCTCTAGTACAGAGGCAGAGTATATAGGGATCTCAGAATGTTGTAAAGAAGCTATTTACTTGCAAAACTTGCAATGTGAAATTACTGACATTTTATATACCATTACTCTGTACAATGACAACCAAAGTGCGCAAAAATTGTTGTTGAATCCTATTTTTCATAATAAATCGAAGCACATAGATATAAGATTTCATTTCTGTAAAGAGATTGTTGCACAAAAGTTGGTAAACGTACAATATCTATGTACAACTGATATGCCAGCCGATTTGCTTACAAAAAGTTTGACTTCAATTAAGCATAAAGCATTTGTGAATGCTGTTGGCTTGGTTAAAAAATGAGATTCTTGCATTATTTTTATATAGTGGGGGTGTTAGTTTATATAAAAATAATATAATAGGTAGTACAACTAGCGCCATCTAGAATAAGGTCTGTGTCACATGTATGTCATTCCTTCTTATATGAAATAAAGTTCAGTTCGTTCCAAGTGAATCAAGTAACCACGTCGTTTTATTTAATATGACTCCCAGCCGCAACCTAATTTAAGACGTTGTCACGTCAAAATACAGACTGTAACTTTACAAATTTCTTGTAACTGTGTATACGTGTATGAAACATTAATCGACCGCATGCAAGTTGCATGATACTGTTGTGTGTGATTTTTTAAAACCCCGACGGAAAAAGAGACGTGTAATAATTTTAAAGTGTCTGACTGTCTGTCAGTGGCACCGTAGCTCAGAAACGAATAGACCGATTTGAATGCAGTTTTTTTATTTGAAAGCTGAATTGATCGAGGTGGTTTATGGCCAGAATTTATGAAGATCTGGTTTTTTGTGCTCATTTCCTATTTGAGAAAAGAGTCTCACTTTAGGGTATCTGAGAAGTTTTTAATAATCTCATGTTATTAACAAATGTTCATGGAGTCTCTGGACTGTACCCTTAGTACGAGTTTGAGCTTACGAAAACTATCATAGCTTTCGTAATTGTAAATTATGTTTCTATGTCAATTTTGGTGAAAAGTAACCAAATATAGGTATACTGTAACATTTTTATGAATAAAATTCTATATACTTAAAATTTAAGAAGACGCAAATGATTTAATGATAGAATTTAAACACTGTTTATTTGTATATAATGAGATTTTATGAACTATATAGATTAAATTACGAAATAAAACAATTGTGTATTAAAACTATCATAGTTTTCGTAATTGTAAAACTCGTACTAAGGGTACTGGACATTATGGCGTCTCACTGGTATGTGATGTCACACGATTATCATTAAAACGTCAAACGATACAATGTAATGTCACTTTGACCGGAAATTTACTAGTATGTGACGTCATTTTCATCTTCGCCAATTTCTATTTAATGATTTCTTAGAAAAGTTATTAAGTATTTGTTCTCTCGGAACAGTATAATCGCTGTTAATATTCATATTAAGTACTGCTAATGATGAACACCAATGACCTTCTATGTATAAAGGACAGGGATATTTCAAGTTCAAGGTGATCCACTGGCACGGTCGTTACTGTAAATCTGTTTATTTATTCCGATGATCGATTATCAAGTCATGCAGGTGATGCTCGAATACCTACCCCTTAACATATTTACAAAAATCTCTTTAAATAAATATTTACATAAAATTATTGTAGTGACCCACTGAATTGTTTATATTAAGGATAACGAGTTCATATTTTCAGCATGTTGTTTACACATGTTGTGCTTAGCGTTATGATCTGTTATTCGCTCATTTGTCCATTACACTCAGACCAATTCATTAAAAAAATATGACGGGTTGTGTTGTGGTACGTGTGTTGAATTCCATAGCTGGTAGAATAGACCATATTAGTAACACTTTGCTTGGTGTTTCCCTGCGTGATCGAGTCAGAAATGACGAGATCCGTAGGAGAACTAAAGTCACCGACATAGCTCGAAGAATAGCCCAGCTGAAGTGGCAGTGGCCGGGACACATAGCGAGGAGAACCGATGGCCGTTGGGGCGGAAAGGTTCTCGAATGGCGACCGCGTGCCGGACGACGCTCAGTGGGAAGACCCGCTACAAGGTGGACCGACGATCTGGTGAAGGTCGCGGGAAAACGCTGGATGCGGGCAGCGCAGGACCGATCTTTGTGGAGATCCTTGGGGGAGGCCTATGTCCAGCAGTGGGCGTCATACGTCTGATATGATGATGATGATGAGTAACACTTTAGTTGTTAACGCTTAAAATGAGTGTGTAGATAGGGTAGATCTTTAGGTATCCCTCACCGCGGCGGAGTCGTCCGCGACCAGCGCCCACGCCGCGAGCGCGGCACCCGCCGCCCCGGCCGCGCCGCTCACGACCCAACGCCTTTGCGCCATCCCCGCCCTCTAGAAAATGCACACAAACTCACACTTCACTTAGCTAAATATTATACTTAAACTGATGTTAAATATCTTTATTATCAATGGGTACTTTTATCTAATTACGGTCTCCTTTAAGGTGGAGGTTTATTTTAAGGTGGGAAATCCACCATGCCTTACAACTGTTGCTCATACATCGATTTCTTTGTGGTTGGACAAAGTAAACCACATGGTACTAAAATTAATTCAATTTTTCAAATAAGATCTTCTACTTGTTTAACTTGCTTGTGTCTATATCCCTATCAGGAAGTCATCGAACTTAAGAAAAAGATCCCAAAAATAAAAAAAAGAGGTCGCGGAAGGAGTAATGTTACAAAATTAGAATGTGGATTTTTTAGCTTCAGTTATATTGGGCCTATTCCTGCAAAACAACAGAGATACCGGAAAGTTGAATATCGGATTGACTCAGGTTCATTGAAACACAAATGGTTCACAGGCAGTAACACAGAAGTCAAGTTCAAGTGTAAGTAATAAATCGGAGATAACATTTCGTGAATTAGGGCATGAAATGGGAGAACTGGGCCATGAAAAATAAATGAAATAAGATTACCTTAAGGAAATGAGAATGTAAAGATTAAAGTTACCGATTCTCTATGCTCAATCATAGAGAATCGGTAAAATAAGAAAAGCGTTTATTCACTGACTTCGAAAGTGGTGGTTGAGGGACAGCAAAGTATTAATGCGTAATCTTACATAAAATTAAATTTAGCAGAAATAACACGCGAGTTCCTGGTAGGCATAAAAAATATTTAAAAAAGGAGAGGGATGACCAGATGAAGCTATACATTAAAAAAATAGTGTGAGAAATATTAAAAATGAATTAAAAATATACAAGAATGGAGAGTAATGAGTTACTACGAATAGATAAGAATCAGAATTTATTATTTTTATTGTGCATACAGATATTTTAAAAATACTTTTGTCTCGTATTGTCTGTCTGGTATGCCTCTCGCAATGTCTCGAGGAGTATGATAATACAATCGAAGGTCACAATCACACGTACGTGGTAAGCTTATCTTCATAGCGATAATATCATTGATTCAGTTAATGCAATACTTAGTAGCGACACGGTTTGACCGTTTGTTGGGTTTTGTCTATAGTTTACAACTGCGTGTCTGTCCAGGACTATAAATGAGACTGAAGAAGTAAGAAATATCAGACAAAATAAGTTTTAATGAAAATTAATATTAAACTTACTTCAACCTTAGGTAATGATAAGCAAGGAATATCTCTTCCCAGCTCTCAAGCAATAAGGTAAATAAAGACGTCTTCACTTCACTTCTATTCTGGTTAAAATCTTTAGAGCTCTAGTTCTAGCCTCCATAGGCCGTCCAGTATATTTCTCTGGTAAAACATACATTAACTTCCAAAAATACTAAAACTACTAAAATATTACCTGCAGCTTTGTCCTTCTCGGCCATAGGTAAGTCAATTAATTTTAAGGGTTGGTAAAAATAATGCTGTCACTTTTTGCGATAAATAAAGACAATTCGTGAATTAATGTTGCATTAAATGTAATCGCTGTTTCTGTATGCGCCCGTCAGACCCTTCTTCCTTCCTACTTAAGAGTATAGATAAGGTTATTGACATGTGCATTACTGTGAGACCATTGCAAAAACGTCGGTTGCACATAAAGCAAAAGTCAACAGAAAAGGAAAAGCTATAGAAAACAAAGAAATTGCCCTTTCCTTGACATTGTAGCCGCTTAAAAGGCTGTCGAATGGAATAACCGGAAAAGGATCGATAGAGCAATGACCTCTTGGATGAAGTTAACGCACTGTAAAGGTTGCCTTCTTCACCAACCAAAAGCCGTTCAACAGCAAGAGGCTATTCATGTGGTGGCATTTTAACACTGCTGTTGTGGTCATTGTCAGTTGATTGTTGCTAATCCAAGCCTATGATAAAGAATGAGTTATAAACTCGATTGATATATGGATGATGTTGTAATAATATGTCAAAGTATCGTATCATCCATCATTTAAAGATTTCGCTACTCCATTGATAAATAGTGTAGTGAGAGAGAACAAATACTCGGAGATCAAATCAACGATGATCCCTTTACCATGGAGGGAAAGTTCGATTTAGGTACTTATAATAACGTGTACTTACAATGATAGGGATCTCAATATGGTTCTCCTTAAAATTTGAATATTTTGGGGTCTTTATCCATCAAAAACAATATAATAAGGAAGATAATTCTAGGAATTTTGCTGTCGATTACTTGGCACGATTATGTTATGTAGGGTGTCTAATCCTGAAAATTGTCCTTTTTAATTATACTCGTATACTACACTGACACCTTGAAGCTGATGTTGTTGATATACACCTGCGTGATGTAGTCAACTAAATCCTTAATTAACAAAAGGCTGACATATGACATATATTTAGCTTGCAACAAATTGTACACAGACAAATGTACGTGGAATTAGTTTAACACTGCGCTAGAAATGTACTGGTTGTTATGTTAATTAATGTTAACTGTTAACTATAATTATTTTCAAATATTATATTTTTGTTTGAAAAGTATGGATGACGTCAATAAGTGCCTGTAAAGGCTTATGATGAATAAATAATTTCTGATTCTGATTTGCATACCATATTGTAGGTAACTGGTGCAATATTTAACACGAAGGACGGCACTTAGGCATTTACTTAATTAACAGCCTCTTCATTAAATAAATGTCAAATCACTTAGATCAAAGTTCGTATAATATAGAGTAGAGACTAATCATAAAATGTATCTACTGGCATTCTAATGCACTGAAACATGTATAAAAACTTTTTGAACACTAACCTTAACTAGCATAAGCAATGACTATAATCAACATTCTTTCACTATGTAGGTAATTTTACCACAAATCTTAAAGTGGAAAACTCTTAATTCATTCATTGAAGTTTTTTAACGAAGGCTTATTGAAACTCAGCAGATCGAAAACCCATACATGGGCACGGGCAGTGAAAACCAGCCCCAAGATCTAAACTTTACTGTTAGTTAATAGTTAACTTAAAAAAATGCATTTACGTTTATCGAAAGTAAAGGCACCTGTTGTATTTACGAAGACGATTGATTTCATGTAGATTTAATACATATAAAACTGATCAAGCAAACGATTTTCCATAATCATGCGCTTGTAGTCTTGTAGGTTGTATAAACGATGGGCACACTACTCAAGCATACAGTGTTATCTTTTAATTTATTTTCAAATTCAAGGGGAGATAAAATCCTCCATAAACAATCTTGATTGATTGCGAGACAGGGAAATGACGGAAACTCATTTTCCAAGGTTTTTGGGTCATGCAAAGTTAATGACCGAAACGTTACCTATACCACTGATGCAGTGATAGTTGGAGAGTTGGCAAGGTTTCGACGATTGTAGAATTCAGTTCCAATTTTATTTGAGACATCGACTCGTAGCTAGGCGCGGGCTCACACAGTACAGCTACGTGGCGAGCAATGCATGCCTATCTATACATAGGATTAAGTAAGAATACTACGTTTCTCCTCTTCCAAGCCAGACGAAACCCAAAATAGCTTTCAGCTTGTGAAATAATGACAGAACGGTTAACAATAATTTATGTTATTGAAGCCAGTTCAGCGTAGTATATTGATTAAAAATAAGATACCTACAGCATTCGGATACATTAATTCCCAACATGGATTGTATTATAAACAGAGAGACCTTCAAAACTGCGATGATGTCATGTAACCGGCATATTTTGCCATGACACTTATACAAACGCGACTATGAACCGCAATGAATACACTTTTTTAAAACTTATCAAGAATAACAAAATCTTTGATTATTAAGTAGTCATACAATACATACACAAAACTGACTTATTTATGTTTAGAAACTAAAATAAATAATTTGAAAATACGGTTAGAATACGGGTCTAATAATCACATAGCCAACACGATTAAAAACATCTCCCTGCATAGTTTAATGTACGTAGATACCTACTTAAAGAATTTGTTAATCATTCAGAAGAAGTAGCTATAAAATTTAAAATTAAACACAAAGCACATAATTTATCAAAATTTAATTATGCACATTTATTCTGTATTAACAATTAAAACTCTAATTACTTACCTTGAATAAATCTAAACAAGGAAACTAGTATAAATACATGTATTTTAGAGTGTAAACACAAAAAATCTGAAGTCGAACGATATGCAAAGACGCCGAATGAATATTTTTGTCTTAAATTAGGCAGGTACAATGTAATAGATACAAAGTAAATATACTAAATGATTTTCCACATCATAGTTTTATTATATAATATAATAATTAGTGAGAGTTTAATTAGAACTACAGTACAGTGTATTGGATACGACGCACGCACGCCCGGAACGTGCGCCCGGTGAACCGACCGAGCAACCCACTGAGTGAGTGAGTGTTTGTCTTCGGTCCGTCCTCCCGCTCGGTCGGCCGCAGCCGTTCGATTCTATCTTCTGAGCACGTTCATTGTAAGTCATTGTTGCTTTGCAATTCTGTTCGTTTTGAAGCTACAAAATTTTTAATAATAACGCCATCTATTGCCGAAAGGCAAAATGAACTGTACATTTTCTTCTAAAGGATCGTAGTTTAGCATTTCACCGTTAGATGGCTGTAATTTACTTCTAAATTGCTCTTCAATGGAGCACTATAAATTGTAGGAGTGTTTTTTAATAGTTTGCAGAGTAATACTATAATACCTGTGCTTATGCTTATTTTAGGCGGTATTGATTATTTTCGAGCACCTCTTATCGTGTGGACTTTTTTATTAGCTTTAGCTCGGTAAAAACTAGTTATTTGAACCGTTTATCTAGACCTCGATTCTGTAGCTCTAACATTAGTGGCTATAGTAATATTACGTTACGTTACAGTCGATACGTTTTTAACCTGTCGAAAATAATAACACTCGTACTTGAGATTTCAGTTCTTTGAGTGGCCGCTAGAGCGCGCGCACTAGTGATTTTTGTCTGGGTGACCATTTTTTTTTGTCACACTTCACAGTCACGTCACCCAATACACCGACGACGACGTCAGAGCGTCGACTCGAGTACTCGACACGACACGTAAATATGTCTTTAACCATAGTAAATGTATGAGACCGATTTGCTTCTGGGGTAACACGACACGACACGTTAATTTAACACGCACGGTGCATCCACTCACTATGGAGTGATAGACTCATAAATAGAAAGTTCTACATAATGTTTGGAAAGCTATATTATACAAACGTTGAAAAATACTTTACAGCACACTTCCTCCCATGCTCTGGTTTTCAAATTAATGTAATCCTTTAAGGATTTGTCATAGATTAATAGCCTTATTTCTATTTGGTCAATTAATATATCATTATCTTAGATTAAAACAAAAGGGTAGATACGGTACGCTCATACGGCTCATACTAGCATCAAATAAAATATGATCCGACGCAACTACATAAGCAACTCTCACACACGTACACGTCTGTATATAAACATCCAATTGAGCGAGCGAGACAGAACTATACGCTTCAACGCAGCGTATTGTTGTCCTTTTCTTGATAACAAAATGGCGACTATGTAAATAACATACACGACAAACCGTGATTTATTGAGAAAATAATATTTTTACAGTTTTACGAATGAAAAGTGTTGCCGAGGCATTAGTTATTTGATTTTGAACTTTTTGTGTTCTTTATAAAAGCATTGTTTTATCTTCATAACACAGAATATACGTAATATTGTTATAATGAGTGCACATGCAGCGTGTTTTAATGTCCAATTGCGACTAAAGAGAATTATGGTCATGCATAGGGCTGCCATCCGTCCGGGTTTCCCCGGATTTGTCCTAGTTTACGGGGCGTCCGGGGAGCGTCCGGGCGGGGTTTTATTTGTAGTCCGGGTTTAAAAATTCAGGCAACGGCAGCGCATGAGTGGCCCTTGGTGCTGCAAGTGTCCATGGGCAACAGTGACCACTTATTATGAGGTAGACCGCTAGCTCTTTTGCCTAGATAAACATAAAAAAGTTGATTTGTGACCTTTTAACTGTTTTTTTATTGGTCTGTCCGGGTTCTGGGCTTCAAAATCGGGGGTTATTACGCATCTTATCCTGGTTGCCACATTTAAGAGATGGCAGCCCTAGTCATGCACCACAATTTAAGCGGATCACTTTTGAGCCGCGAGTGCCGTATCTTCCCTTTTCCTTTTAAACTAAGATCATTATCTATATCATCTTCATGCAAACATGCATTTTGCACCGGAGTTGACGTTGACGCCGTTATTTTGTAATATAAACGAGACGTAAACACGATGAAGTTCGAAAGCTAACTGAGGTGTAGAAACGTGAGAAGCAGGGAGCAAGCTGATTTTTAGTTGCTAGTGTGCGCACGGCAATTCAAACCTCTGGTCACGGTGACAGTTGCGTCACGGGCTTGTCGCCGGCCTCCGCGGACAAAAAGTTACCCACGAGTCGCGTATACAAGTGCGCGCACCGTCTCATACAGAGTTCCCCAAACTTTTTTGTGTCGTAGACCCCTTGCCATGTTTTTCTGTGTTGGGTACACCCCCTACTTACCTGATATTGATTTTTTTTCGCTGACGTAGACCCCTTGCAGGTTGTCATAGACCCCTAGGGGTCGATATAGACCACTTTGGGAATCACTGGTCTTATACAAAAGTCACCAGGGCGCGTAACCAAAAGGTTTACAACTATACCGCAAACTATTACAGAATCGTGGCCCCAGACTTCATTTACTTAGATGTCTCTTTGCAGTATTGTTATTCCAGGAGCTGGACGATGGAAGCGAACTTTTCTGTCTATCGCTATTGCAAAGAAATCGACAGCCTAAACTTTTAAACAAATTTAAAATTAAACGACATTTCTTATTGCAATCGTAATTGTGAGCCCAGGGAAGTCTTTAGATAGCATCTCTTATCTATTAGACAAGTCCGTCCGTCCGTCTGTGGTGCTGTTCCAGCGGCCAAACCGTAAGAGATAGATAAAGAGAATATTTAAGTTATAAGTTAAGAATAGTGTGATAAGACTACAAACCGGATTTGAGTAACGTAGCACTTCCGGTTTTCGAGAAATCACGAATTTCAAACGAAACCACACAAAATCTCCGAAGTTCTCAATTAATTAAATACATTTTTTTTTTTAAATCAGGTTTTGGTGAACATTTGTTTCACTGGTTTGCTAGTTTCAATGTAATAACAAACAACTAGATATGTTTCGAAGAATATTTATTACGATTCAATATTTCTATATCAGAGCTTACAATGAAATTGTGCAACAGACACGGAAACAGGTTCACTTCTCCTTCTTCTCGGATGAGAGGGAATTGTAGAGTTTAGTGATCTCGGCGAGGACGACGCTCTGCACGACGGCGCCGTTGACATCGATGTAGGTCGCGAACGACTTGTTGACAGAAGCCTCGCGGCACCGCCCCGCCCCCCCCCGCCCCCCCCGCCTCACGCATCACCACTACCAGGCTGTACTTGTCGTCGTGCCTGCGCGGTCACAACAAAACCACAGTTTAACATTCATCAGCCTACTAATGTCCCCCCTGCTGGGGCACAGGCCTTCCCTATGGATGGAATAGGGAGATTGGGCCATGACCCACCTCGTGGGCCCAGTGCGGATTGGCCGGTGCTAACGACTGCAGATGTGGCTGGGACCAACGGCTTAACGTGCCTTCCGAAGCGCGGAGGAACTCGAGATAGAAGATTTTTGGTCACCCACCCAGTTGCTTTCATTTCAAAGATCGCAGCCGAACGACCTAGCCACCTGCGCCATCAAGTTCCTCAGTTTAACATTATTTTATTATATCACATAGATTAATAACATAATCGACAACCCTTGTGGCCAAGTGGTATATACGCCAGGTTCCATGGTGTCGCCTCCTGGAGAGATCCCGGTGGAGGCAAACGTTAGTATGATGAATACAAGCACTTGTACCTTAGTCATGGATGTTTATATATATTTCTATATAAATAAACTTATATATGTATTCTATCTTAACAGTTTACCCTAGCAACCCATAACACAAGCCTTACAGTGCTTACTTTGGGGCTAGGCAAATTGGTGAGTGTTATAAATATTTATTTATTTATTTTAAGTTTTGAAATGGCAAATTGCGATACCAAAGCTATCACTTGCACTGTTGCCTACCCTGACCTGATCGCCTCCCCCATTCCTATTACTTTTTTCCTACAGCCTGTTCAAAACATCATTTAGCTGACAAGAAGAACGGGCGAAAACAACTTCTCTGAGTTTTAGAAAGTAGTTACATTTAAATAGAAATATGTTATTACCAGCACAATTATAAATTAATTACCTACATTCTTTATGTGTAAAAAAGATCAAAAATATTGTTTATTGCATTGTAATAACTTATTAAAGTTATCACAATGCAATATTCAATATTCAAAAGCAAAGGATGTGAATAAATGTCTGAATAATAAAAATATAACTTACTTTTTGACATATGAACTAGCCTCCCAGACTCTGTTGTTGTTGCCAACCTTTTCTTTGGCGACTACAAATATTCCTTTTTCTTTGAATGTGGTATACAGAGTGAGTATGCCCATGAGGATAAAATATGAAGACACACAAATAATGAGAACCAGTCTGAAAATAAATACATTTTATTACTATCATATTAAATCTATGTCTTATGTCCTTATATTTCTTCTTGTTTCTTACCTAAGATTAAAAAAAATATGCAAATAATAGATAGATGCCCTTCCGGCAAATCTATATAATAATAATAGCTAATGCCATTCATTCAAACCATTATTTTCTATATGACAGCTTTTCTTAAATGTTGATTAAGTGATTTGTAAATTGAGTTATTGGACATATATTTGTGTATTTATATCTGATGGTTTTAAAAAAAATGAATTTGTGTTTAATTTGTACAGATACAAACCTTGATTGTGGGAATGGGTATAAGTAGTCCCAGAGAAGGGCATATAGAGCCACACCAACTGCTAATGCACAGAGGAAAAGTCTTCCATCAATCAGAGCAAAACTCTCCTTGCACTTAAGGTCACCAGTGAAAACCTGTTAAATTACAACTTATTTGGTCAATGGGAAAGAATGGAGAACAGATGATGGTTTACACTTGACATCTTAAAATGTTAATTAATTCCTAAACAAATAATTACATGGTCTGCACAAATCCACAAACTAGAAATTCATTTGAAACCTGATTATATTGAAACAAATTAGTAATTTTCTAAAAAAATATATATAATACAAATATTTTGGAAAAAGGTACTACTTTATCAAATCAGCACTGTACAATAATGTACCTCTCTAATGGCATCATCAATGGCATTTTTTGCTGCTGCTCCGTCCCATTTGTTGATTTTTACTACCTTAAAAGAACAACAAAAGATTCATTACAAAATGCTCAATGAATTAAATAACTAGGTATCTACTGAATAACAAAATATTGGGTCGGTGTTGGTAATTCTATGTGGATGTGGTGTGATGGACAGTGGTTTCGGATTAAATATATAAAAGACCTAAGGGATGAACAATATTTGATGACGATAGCCAGCTATTACGTTTATCACGAACCAACAATTATGTATTTATATAACAAATTAAGTTGGCTGATGTGATGTAAATACCAATCTCATACAAAAACATTGGAAAGCTTAGAAGTAAATTATAAAACCCGGCAAGAGATCGAGTAATTCACAATCACTAGCAGTGACGTGTCCACGTACGGTGAAATTTAACTAGAAAAATATGCACTATATGTCATCAGCATTACCTCTGTTGACTCAGTCATATTTATTTACTAATATTATCGAGACTTATTTGTATTTAGCTAATTAAATGGAAACGTATTTAAAATCCAAATCCAAATCTAAAGCTCTCTTACGGTTGACTTTTCGATAGTTGACAATGACCAGTGTTGCCAGTACCTGCGTCGTGTTTCGGACGATTCGAAATCTGAAAAGGGACGATTTTTAGTCAAAAAGGACGGCCCTACAGAAATATTAAACTAAAGGCTGAACTATATTTATCTTACGTGTTGTGTTGTGGCGCGATCTGGTTCATACATTTAGTACGGTTAGCACTAAGAACTATACAGAAGCAGATCTCTATTAAAAAATTTAGACATATTAAAATTGACAATCCAGTTAAGAAATGTGTATTTATTGCTATTTTGGACATTTTGCTTATTTTTCTATTAAAATTTTGACTATTAGTATAATTGACAATGGTGTCGATTCTGGTATGATTCTCTAAACCTAAACTTAAATTTGACATCAGTGTATCCCTGTCATTCTCTATACGGAATGAAAAGGAGAGACTGATGTTAATTTAAGTTTTAAGTTTAGAGAACCCTGCCAGAATCGACATCACTGGCTTATCAAATTTATAATTAATTTATAATCTACTTTGACATGCATGTAACAATAGACAATTTCAAATTATATTCATAAATTGTGATTCCAATGTAAAAATAATAGTACTTCTTTCATAGGTCCTTATCTATTTGTATACCTTAATTAAGGTGGAAATGTAGTGATACTAACAAAAATTATATATACCATGTATACTAACCTATGTTTCACAAATAAAATTCTGAAATTCTGATTCTGATTAAACCTGTGAGTCGCGATGTGTCGACAGCGTTCTCACATTAACCATAATTGTATGAAACAGATAGCTCTCTGATGTGTTACAATACAACACGACAGGTAAGTGTAGTTCTATTATAATGCGGTTAAATGAAAAGAAAAGCGAGTGTGCTTAGGAACACACGACTGGAAGTGAAATTTCTATAGCTCCAATGATCTGTAATTTGATAGAAAAAAACCATCAATCCGCGCTGGGTCCGTTATCACACACCAATCCGTGCTGGGTCCGTTATCACCCACCAATTCGCACTGGGTCTATTGCCACCCACCAACCCGCACTGGGTCCGTTATCATCCACCAATCCGCACTGGGTCCGTTATTATACACCAATCCACACAGGGTCCGTTATCACCCACCAATCCGCGCTGGGGCCATTATCACCCACCAATCCGCACTGGGTCCATTGCCACCCATCAATCCGCGCAGGGCCCGTTATCACCCTAAAATCCGCACTCGGTCCATTATCACTCACCAATCCGCGCTGGGACCGTTATCATCCACTAATCCGCTCTGGGTCCGTTATCACCCACAAATCCGCGTTGGGTCCGTTATCATCCACCAATCCGCTCTGGGTCCGTTATCACCCACCAATCTGCGCTGGGCCCGTTATCATCCACCAATCCACGCTGGGTCCGTTCCGTTATCATCCACCAATCCGCACTGGGTCCGTTATCACTAGTGTTGCCAGGTCCGATTTGTTTTAAGTCGGTACATGAGGTGAAAAAAATCGGGACTTAGGGTTGTAGATCGGGACAGTAAACAAAAAACGAGGGTTTTTTAGTCTGGGTTTATTTTTTGCGATTTAAACCACTAGTGCAAGTATAGTATTATATTAATTACCTAACTTTTATTTTTTGATTCATCGGGTTATTTAGCGTCCCGATCAGGTACAAATCGGGACGCGTCCCCACACCCCTGAAAATCAAGACATCCCGCACAAATCGGGACACCTGGCACCACTAGTAATTACCCACCAATCTGCGCTGGGTCCGTTACCATCCACCAATCCGCGCTAGGTCCGTTATCCAGGCCACCTAGCCAAGCACTAGATTTATGTATTTTGTGACAGGTATTGTTCATTGTTTACCGATGAGTCACCGATGACACTAATCGTAACGCTTAATCGTAACTATTCGCCAGTTTACCCCCCAAGTCAAGCGTGCCTAAAGAAGTTTCACTTCAAAAAACATTTTAACAGAGCCATATTAATTATATTTTTTTGGGCACACAATAAACATAAAGAAGATGGTACGGAGGACATAGGTACATCATGGTGGTACGAACGTATCGTACGTACTTACGACTTAACAAAGCAAGCACTTATTTTTAAGTTACCTATTATCTTTATAATTGAAATATAGGTACCTCAACAACAAAAGTTTTATTAGGTAAGATATGGTAGGTTATTGGGTTTGAGCTTTGAGTTGGTATATAGATATAGGTAGGTATTTGTTAAACGTCACCTTCGTAGCGAGCGTTGGATTCGATGTAGTTTACTGGGTGATTTGACGAATAGAGTTGACAATGTACAACGAATAGTGATGGCAATTTAGTGAAATAAATCAATGAGTGAAACGAAACGCATTCGTCTAATGTTGCAGTGAAGCGTTATCGAAAACGGACGGAAAAGGGACGGAATATGTAAAAGGACATCGATGGGACGCTTTGATGAGAAAAGGGACGAAAATCGTCCCTTTTGGGACGTTCTGGCATCACTGACAATGACACATGCACAAGTGATTTTTTTATATTCTTTCATACAAGAAGGCAAAGGATATAAAGTCCAAACAGCCACATCTTGACTTATTTTTATTTTTTTGCATTGGAACACACCAAGAATTAACAGACAGCATCTTACCACGCTTTCTGATAATTCTTACGTTAACTTGACCGAAGTAACGTAATATTTAAAAGATTCCGCCACAAGATTCTTCTAACTTCTGCAGTCAGTCCTTCCTACTGAGGAAGGAGTTGTAACATAAAATCAAACCACTTAATTCCGCAATACCCTTATAGAATGAATGGAATCAGATAATATTTAAAATAATATGCTAACGGCACGCATTCGTTGAAAAGCGATGTCAAAAACTTCTTACATATTTTTTCATTAAAAAAATTCTCGACCTCGAGTTGATCTGTACAGCTTACTTAAATCGTAACGTTCTTCATTGCGTTGAAAGCAGACTTCTCTTCAAATGTCTACAAAAGCTGAAGATAAGAAAGTGTAAAGGCACAACCATACGGCGGCGGGTACATACTTTGGTGAAGAAGCATTGTAGAAATCAGTGCATCTAAGCCAATGAAACTTGTTTTAATTAATGAGTGATGTGCGTGAAAACCGAAGAAACAAATATTGTAGAAATATTCGTAAATATCTTCTGTGATGCTGGCTCCACAAGCTGTTGTTGGCTGTTTGTGATCGCTGTTTGCCAAACGTGTGGAGGCACCATCATAGATTATTGCATATATAGAGTAACCTTATATATATACTTACCTTTAAACAAAAAAGGAAGTTAAGGTACGCTCATAATAGAAATACTAGCTGACCCAGCGAACTTCGTACCGCCATAAAAAAAATTAATTAAAAAAACATTGTCCAGCGGACAAAATTGTGAATCTAAACCATTCTCAGATCCCCTTGAACACACACAAAAAATTTCATCAAAATCGGTCCAGTCGTTTAAGAGAAGTTCAGTGACATACACACTCACAGAAGAATTATATAATAATATAATAATAATAATAATAATAATAATAATAATTTATTTCCAAATTTCACAACAATTTTACAGATTTCTAGCCCCCACACTAGGCTTAGCCTGTCCTGTGGGGGAAGGATTTTGATATACATTAAATAAATGTGACTAAATAGGACAGCGGAGTTGATTTACAGAATACATTTATATAAATACATACATTTTGTGTGCGTGTGTGTGTGTGCGCGTGTGAGTGTGTATGTGCGTGTGAATGTGTGTGCGCGTATGTCTGTGTGTGTAAGTATGTGTGCGTGTTTCACGTTTTAAAGATTAATTTTATATGATAATATCCATTATGTTTTCACATTCTTTGTATGTCAAATTCATTACAGCCATGGACACAAGACGCTTCGCCTCATTCACAGTACACTTTTTTAGCTGACAAATGATTGCTAATTTATTATAAATAAATGGAAAAAGGAAAGATCCGAACCGCTTTGCAAAAGATGTGTACGTTGTGATATTGGGTAGTTTATAAATACGTTTATTAAACAAAGCGTTATACCCATTGGACACAATTACATTTTTATGGACCGAAACAGCCACCCTCACGAAGTAAAGTCTTCTGACGCTTAGGACCTTAGCTTCCGTGTAAAGAGCATCAGTTGAAAAAAGCATAGGTTTTCGAAGTGCCACCTTTAAAACCGCTCTCTGAGCTCTCTCGAGTGGAAGTAATGTTAAAGAACTAGAGCCCCCCCAAACCAGGATGCAGTAGTTAATTACATTTTGACAGAGAGCCAGATATACCATCTTTAAGATTTTTCCATCTACAGCATCTCGAAGATTTTTCATAACGCTAGCTATCTTCCTCACTCTCTTGCACATTTCAGCTATGTGTACTTTAAAAGTAAGCTTTTCATCTATTACTACACCTAGATATTTTATAAACTCTGAGCGCTTAATATGCTTGCAATTGCATTTATCAGTGAGTACACAGGAAGGTGTACGATTATGTATCTTTATTACATCCAAAGATACCGGGGCAGATGCAACGGTTTTATGAAAGCACAGGAATGTCGTTTTAGAAGTATTTAGGGATAATAAATTTTCATTTAACCATGTCGAAACCACGCTCATGCCACCTTCTACCCTTCGACACACTTCATTCCAAGTAAGCCCAGAAAAAATAATAGCAGTATCATCAGCATAACACAGAATTTCCGCGCCCTGGAGGCGAAGGGATGCAATATCATTCATATACAGCAAGAACAGGGAAGGTCCTAGAATGCTTCCCTGTGGGACCCCAAAGGTCACAGGTTTCATACTGCTTCTCTGACCAACGACTCTCACGCATTGCTGTCTTCCCGTCAAATAGTCAGAAAACCATTTGTGAGCTGTTCCTCTGATACCATAGGCTTCCAGTTTTTTTAAAAGGATAGGGATCGATACTGAATCAAACGCTTTAGCGAGATCCAAAAAGACCCCAATGCAATTTAAACCTTTATCTAAATGAGAGACTACAGTATTTGTGAGGAGTGTAACCGCATCTTCTGTTGATCGACCTCGGCGAAATCCGAATTGTCGGTCAGAGATCAGTTGGTTGCCGTCGAGGAAAGATACAAGTCTCTTATTTATTAT